ACAAAAGTTGTATCCAAGATGGCCGACTTCTAAATGGCCACCATGGTCACCACCCATCTTGAGGAGTTTGCCCCCTCACATATACTAATGTGCCACAAACAGGACTTTAATATCACCAACCATTCCCATGTTATTACGGTGTATCCATATAAATGGCCCACCCTGTATATACAAAGTGGAATTACGAACAAGGAAGGCTACTTATGAAATCTTCAACTTCACATTAAATCAACAGCTAGAGGGTTGAAACTTGGACACATCTGGACATCTGGATCTGATTATGCTTAAAAACTGGGTCCATGCAAAAAAAAAAAAAAAAAAAAGAAGGAAAAAACAACCAATTTAATTGAACTTGATCAGTTTTGTCAGGACGAGTGGTCAAATAACAAACCAGAATTATGGCAGAAGCTTAATTCTGGTTAATGGCTATCAAAAGTGTCTGGTTGAGGTCCAGCTTGCTAAGGGACATTTAACCAAATATTAGTGAGGTGTGTGTGTGTATATTTGAGTTTGTGTGGATTAGCACAAAAGTCTAAAATAAATTGTTTTCTTAAGCCACTAAAGATGTTTGTTGTATAATGATTCCAGCCTGGAAAAATAACAGTTAAAAAACCCTTTAAAAGCCCAAAATTACCATGACATTCATGCCCACGATGAGTGTATGTAAACTTCTGACCACAACTGTGTGTTCTTCTATCACAAAGATTCACCACAGCAACTTTGACAATCTGCTAAGACAATAAATAAAAATTGGATAACTAATAGCAGATTGTGTCATGGTGTAACATCATCACATCATTCGATGCGTCTGTGACTAATGTAGCCCTTTATGATATGATGCATAATTTCTTTGTCTTCAGGGATCGGCGGGACCGTCACCGCTCCAAGAGCCGAGACAGCAGCAGTCGTGGAGACAAATCGGTCACCATCCAAACACCCGGAGAGCCGCTTCTCGATGCAGAGTCGACCCGCGGAGATGACAGGGTCAGTTACAGTGTTTTCTGCTTTCTTTTTGTTCATGCATCGTCATCTTTGACCACATTTAATCACCAGTCATTATTCTAATTAATGGTTAACATTGTGCATATCTTATCCCACCAATGTTTCTTAAATCTACAATTTGTTCAAAAAATGTTAGTGACTTTCGGTCCTTTAGCTGCATGTCACTAACATTGACAAAGTTAATAGGCTCAGATTACCCTGGAGCTGTACATGCTAAAATATTATGTTTAATTAAAGTCAAACACTCAGCTGAACTACAAATAGTCCTTTAAACCAAAACTTTGACCTCTCTACTTTATTCAGGTCAAAAAGCTATTGCTGAATTCCCCATCAGTTTTCCTTTGTTATCCATTCAAAGTGGTCTCTCAGATTCTTTCAACAGCTCAAGTGTGTTTTCTTAGAGCCGTTAATCATATCGTTTCAGTCCTTTTCTGCCTCGTCAGTTAGCGAGGAGAGAGCAGGTGCTGACTTTAAAATAATCTGACTTCACTATTTAAAGTGCAGAGACGTGCTTTTATTAAGGAGCCCGAGGGGACGTATTTGTTCTCAGATGAAGTGAAGAGTCATTCTTAAAATAGTAAAGGGGCACTTGCATTAAAGCTTAACCAACCTGCAATCGCTCTTGGGACAAAGATGTTCAGGGCTTGAGCCCTTAGCTTCTAATTTTAAGTTGAGGGCTTTTCAGCTGCTCAAAAAAGATTTTTAAAAAAGCAAGAACTGTTCATTTGTGCTTACTCTGCCTTCCAACCAACCCTTTCATGTAAACATCTTGTGTTCATATATGTAGGATAAGTAGCTTCAGATTTTGTCTCACACCCTCCTTTTCTTAGGTATGGCTGAGCAACTCCTGTTCACACATACAATCCCAGCATTCTTAGCCTCTTGAAGAGGTGCAACTTAAGTCAAAGCTGGGGGTGAACTTAATATATTACTCAGCATAGAGATTAAAATGACTAATTGTTTTCTTTGTTGTGCAGGATGACAACTGGGGAGAGACCACCACTGTGGTCACTGGCACCTCAGAGCACAGCATCTCGAACGAGGATCTGACCCGCGTCACCAAAGATTTGGAGGAGTCAACTCCACTGGAGTGCAAGCGTTTTGTGGGTCCGGCGTTGGGAGGCTGCCTGAGCTTCTTTGCTCTGGTCACGCCATTAGCCTTCCTCATCCTGCCGCAGGTCTTGTGGCGTGACGCCCTCGAGCCTTGCGGCACGCCCTGCGAGGGCCTCTACGTCTCCCTGGCCTTCAAGCTCTTGGTCCTGCTCATCTCCTCCTGGGCTCTGTTCCTCCGCCCTCCCCGCGCCACCCTCCCACGCTTTTTTGTCTTCCGCTGCCTCCTGATGGTGCTGGTGTTCCTGTTTGTGGCGTCGTACTGGTTGTTCTACGGCGTGCGTGTGTTGGAGCCCAGAGAACGGGACTATAGGGGGATTGTGGAGTATGCTGCCTCGCTGGTGGATGCTCTGCTCTTCATCCAGTACCTGGCTCTGGTGCTGCTGGAAGTCCGACACCTTCAGCCAGCCTTCTGCCTTAAGGTGGTGCGGAGCACAGATGGTGCCAGCAAGTTCTACAACGTGGGCCACCTCAGGTTTGTGACACCAGCCATCGCATTTAATTAATATCTTTACAGAATTGTTGTTTGTTACTTGGTTGCCTTCTAGTAACAAAATACGATAAACCTGCTGAGAGGCAGAAGATTAACCTCATGAGTCCCAAACTCTTATTCGCAATGTACCACAGACAGGCTTGTGCGCAGCAGCATGAAGTATAAACTGCAGAAAAGCTAAATGCTATGTCCTTACATGAGGATGCAGGGTCTCAGTTACTCTATGGAGTGATTTTTGCTGGTATGGATTGGGTCCTTTGTCTTTACAAAGGAAAGAGTCACTGCAAATCAATACAAAGTTGTCTTAAGTGGGTTTAAAATGTCTGAAAGTTGATACTTGGGTGTGTTCACGCTTGTATTTGAGAAGCTTTACAAGCTTTTTTTTCTCTGCCTGTGCTCTGAAACCACATCCTAGAGCGGGAAAAATGTATTTTTAAGTTGTCAAAATCAATCCCACACAGATTGTTTTTTGGAAACAAACTGAAGGGGAAGTGTGCGTGCATGCATATCTCCATCAGGCCATTATTCTTTTTTAAACGTGAGCAGCATGCAGAGACATCACAACTTAAATCTGATTTCCTTTTTCCTTTTTTGATGATTCAAGGATGTAATCCATCCCCAGCAGTCACACCTACATCGTGTACACGGGCATTATTTTAAGTAACTTTAGTAAGATTTCAGTGAAATATAAAAAAAGCGTGACACTGGCAGGGACTCCATGGTTTTGGTGATTCTGGTGGTCAAGAACTGTTTAATGGAAATATAATATACGCTCAATTATTCTGATTATCCCAATGGACTGGATAAAAATGTGCATATATTTCTTAGCATATTGCATATATTTATTGTTGTTGAAACTAAGAAATGTTTCAACATCAATAAATATATTAACTTTAAAGCGGAAGTTTCACAAAACCTAGGTAAATATTAAACTACACCAAAAAAAGTTTGGGGGATGTGAGGGGATGCATTTTACTTTGAAGTATTTTACTGTCCAAACATCAGTGTATCTTATTTTAAAGTAATAGTTGAGGTGTGACATTAAACGAGATCACCATCAAAGGCAGAAATGTGAGGGAGGTGCTGAGATATAGTTTACATTTACGTCTGTATTAACTGCAGCCTGTCCGTTGTGCAGTCAGCAGCTGTTGTTTTGACCTGTACTTACTGTGACACTGACGACAGATACTGTGTTTTAGCATCCAGCGGGCAGCTGTCTGGGTTTTGGACCGTTATTACAGCGACTTCCCCGTCTATAACCCAGCTCTCCTCAACCTGCCCAAGTCCATCCTGTCCAAGAAGATGACAGGCTTCAAAGTTTACTCTCTGGATGGTAAATATAGTTTCGTCCTTGCTCTGACGTCTGTCTTTAATCCAGTAGTAAATCGTTTTTTCTTTAATTTTCGTTGCCGTTTGTTGGTCTACGTCAGAAGCAGGTGGCTTTACAGCAAGAACGGGAAACATAAAGAACTCCTTAAACTACCTGTCTGAGTTCTAATGTGCAGTCCAATACTCCCTCCTTCGGTCTTACAGAAAACACCACCAATAACTCCACAGGCCAGTCCCGGGCCATGATAGCAGCTGCTGCTAGACGGAGAGACAACTCCCACAACGAGTATTACTACGAGGAGGCTGAGATGGACCGAAGGATCCGCAAACGGAAGGCCAGGTCAGATACACTCCACGTTCCTCGTTGGCCTCGAGGGCCATTTATCACCCGCATAACTTTTCGGTTGTTCATCTTTGATCTGTTGGGTATGTCACCACAGTTCTGTTACTCTAATAGGTTGGTGGTGGCGGTGGAAGAGGCCTTCACGCATATCAAGCGCCTCCAAGAGGAAGAGGCAACCTCATCTCCCAAACACCCCAGAGAGGTAATGGATCCTCGAGAGGCAGCCCAAGCCATCTTTGCCCCGATGGCCCGGGCCATGCAGAAGTACCTGAGAACCACACGGCAGCAGGCCTTCCACAGTATGGAGAGCATCCTCACACACCTTCAGTTCTGCATCACGCACAACATGACACCCAAGGTGAGTCGTCAATAGTTCCAATACAGCAAACAGCCTAATTGATATTAAAATATTTGTTTGTTTTGTTTTGTTTTTAAACATGTTTGAGTATTGATGGCTGTTTCTTAGCAGAATTTTCTACTAGAGAATCGAATACATCTCTAACTCAGAGGCGCCTAAGTCCCTGATGATAGCAGCCACTTGATACTGTTTTCAGTCTTGTCCTGTGTGTACAGATACTTTCTATTGATTATCAAAACCCTTCTATATTATTTACCATAAGGATGGTTTTTTTATTTATTTTTTGCTATTTAAGCCCAAACAGTCCCTCATTGAGTGCAGATGTACCTACCTTTACTCCTGAATACTCTCTCTTTTTGGGACACTTTCTTTTATTTAAAAAACAAAACAGCTTCTATCAGTTGCTGTCTTATTCACAAGAGGTCAACACACTGGATCAATGTGCATATTTGATCTGGTATGGATGCTCCTTCCATCCCAACATGGCCCGTCCAAGGGATTTGTGCTTCCTTTCGGTCTCGAGAGGAGATGCCAGGGATCTAGTGTTAGCCAAATATGTTCCCACTGTAGGACAGAGCCACTTTAATTAAATATAAAATAAATACAACACAATAAGGGGATCTTTGCCACTACAGAAAGGCAGAATTATTGTAGGATAGTATTTCTTTTACTTGTTTTAGCGGACAGTGTAGATCGATGAAATGATCTTCAAAGCCGCATCATTAGTGATGTAAATGTAGTTAAGTGCTTCATGAGTGTTCTTGGGCACGGCACTTCAGCACTAAGACAGCTGGTGTTTCCTTGGTGATTAACTCCAACATCCTCCTTTTCAGGCTTTCCTGGAGCGTTACCTCACCGCCGGCCCCACCATGCAGTACCAGCAGCAGAACGGTAGGGGGCGCCAGTGGACTCTGGTGAGCGAGGAGCCGGTGACCTCAGCCCTGCGTCAGGGTTTGGTCTTCTCCCTGCGACGCCTGGACTTCTCCCTTGTTGTCACGGTGACGCCGCTCCCCTTCCTGCGGCTCGGGGAGGAGTTCATCGACCCAAAGAGCCACAAGTTCGTCATGAGGCTGCAGTCTGAGACCTCGGTGTAAAGGCGTCCAGTAAAACGTCTTCTTTTTCCTACACTTTCCTCTCCCCTCGTGCTAACTCCTCCTGGATCACTGATGCGGTGGGACATGTGGAGGCCATGTGGTCTATTCTCGCCCAATCATTTCCTCTCTCATCAACAAACAAACCATTCAGAGAGGAACATCTCTGCGGGCCTCATCCTTCCTGTTTTGTGATCATCACAGATGCTTTGTGTCAGACTGTGATCAGCTCAACGATTGTTCAAACCCTGGAAGTAAACAGATGCCTTGACCTTTTCTTTTCTTGACAATGTCTTTACGGCACACTGTAAAGTTCTTTCTTCCTCTAAACGGGGACTTTTCCTCCTTTTGCCTCTTCTTTTGCTGTAACCACTGGACTAGTTTACTGTGCTGACTCAACACGTAAACACCAGAGGAAGGGGATTGCATCACATGTGTCACTTCCTCTTATTTGTGTCTTAAAATCAGTCCAACTGGATTTCAGCTCTGACTGCAACGCTGATGTACCACTGCCCTCTGGTCCCCTGTCAGTCGTTGTGTTTAACATAAGCAGGACTGTTGTTGTTTTTTTACATATATATGTTAGAGGAGTGACTTTTTAACTTTCAGAATGTAGCATTTTGTGCAGTGAGTTAACATGTTCTCTCTTGTGGCCTTGAAGGGCCAGTATGTCCTTTTTTTAAAAATTTATGTGACTATTAAGCAAAATGGAAGTACATTCCTAACTCACTGCAACTCCAAACTGTATGTTCATGATTGTTTAAATATGCAGCTTTAGTTTATTTAACACTGGTACTTTTACTATTGATGTCACAGTTTTAGCAGGACGTGTTACAGAATAAAAATGACATTTTCACCTGGTATTAACTGAGATTCTGAACATTACTTGCGTGAGGATCTTAAAGTGTGAGCTTGACGATGTTCTGAATTTTTCGTACTGTCAACAAATCCAGCAAAAAGACCAACAGTGCACTCGTCTCGAGTGTCATTACTTGGAATCTATTCATTGCTGCTACTTCCTAAGAACAACTCATACATGCATTATGCTGTTATTATTCTTTTTTAACTCATGGATACTATGTTTTTGGAAATGTTACTCATGCCTAAGTAGTAAGTGGATTTACTCAGTGCTATTTATAGCTGGTTACTTTTAGATACAATTGAGTATTTTTGGCAGCAGGATGGCGTGAGTGGAAAAATAAATTGCACAGCAATGGAAAAACTGGAGCCAGTAACAGGCCGATGCCACTCTTTACAGAGTAAAACATTTCTAATATCACATAATGGCTCATATTTTCAGAATATTACTTAGATTCTTTAGTAAGTTATACTCACGCTTTATGTTCTGTCTGCTAGTCAGTCTCTCCAATGGACAAACTAAAAATATGTCTTGATATCAGCTCGTATCAGAGCAACGTGTATGCTGATACTGAAATATGTGTCTTAGTGGATATTAACCTGATGTATTGGCTGTGCTTTAGAGAAAAAAAAAACACATCACGTAGTACATTGGTGTTCTGGGTGTAGTTTTTGAATAGACCAGTAAATTATATCAGGGTCTCAGTACCCATACAAAGCATGTTTTCTTTTTACTTTTTCTTTCTTTTTTTGGGGGGGGGGGGTTAATAATTGACTGGGGGTATTTTTGGTCTTTTTATGGCTTTTATTTGACAATATGAAAAACAAGAGTATTACCAGCCTCACTCTTTAATGCAAATGCAATCTGTGCGTCCGATATGTTGAAATGCTGGTAAAATCTTTGCATTTTAAGTGATAAAATCTGCAGCTTTTCTGTGACTGACTGGGGGGAAAAAGCATACTCTGTGCTAAATTCTAGTTAACTGTTTGTGCGACCATGTTTTAAGAGTTTCCTTAACAGATACTGACAGAGTTGCTGCATTATTGAAGGTATATTTAGATTCTGCGGAAGAAGTTCCGCCTGCACACTAACTCTAAGCCACCCTAATAATCAGATAACAGCATTTTGAGTCACTGTGTGCAGGCGCTCATCTGTCATAAAACTTCAGTCCATCGGAAAATGCCCTGATTATTAATATTGGAAGCGAAATAATACGGTGTATCGTTACAGTGTAATACCAGGTGTAAATGTAGTCAGTCTCACACTTCTTACACAATTAAATGAATCCAGATGTGGCAGCTGTAGTTTAACTATGAGCTAGCTTATTGTGGTTTAATGTTTGTTTGTTTTTTCTTACATGCATATCTACAAGAATCCCAAACCAGACATGTGATTGTAACTCCTCTCTGCAGGTCCTCTGCAGCAGTAGCTTATCACCGCCTCGCCTTGTGCCACGAGCTGAAACGGGCACAGTGAACATGCTGCCTATGACCTTTCCTCAGCCTTAGTTTCCAGATGTGCAGGAGCAGCAGACTCTGACTCCCCCACCCCTTCGTCTGCAGGTCCCGATACTTAACCCGATGTTTCCACCCCACATGCTGAGCCACAGAAACAGACAAAAGCAGGCTGACTGTTTTTGTCAAATGCGGTTTTAAAAAGTCCTTCACATTTCTGAAAAATGAAACAAACAAACACCAGGTCCGATTTGTTCGATATTTCATCTGATTTTTGTAAAAAAACAAACAAAAAAAAAACAAATGAACAAAAGAATGCATGCATAGATTTATTTTGGGCTCCAAATCCTTTTTATAATAAGTTGTTTTCTATCATTTTTACGGTGCCTAAGTTATGATGATGCAATTTTCAGAATGTAAAAAAAAAATTGTAGATCTGTGTTGTATTTTGTTCTTTTTGGTAACTGTAGCTTGTATAGTGTGCTAGGCTTTTTCCATTATTAAACCATTTATTACTTACAAGTCTCCTTGTTTCTTAACTTGCAGCATGGGGAACTTTAGTCTGTAAAGCAAAACATGTGAATGAAGCTAAGAAGCAAAAGGAGCTGAGACTTCTCTTTTTAATGTGGTTGAAGAAAATTAATATCTGCATTTGATCATTTTGGTTTGCTTTAATAAGAATTTGTTCTTGAATGCTGTTACCCAAAGCCGATTTGGGCCTTTGGACGTGAACAATTTTCACCAGTTTTTCACAAGACTTTTAGAGGAACTTCTGTCAAGTTGGGGGATGGCAGTGTGGTAGGCGTGTGGTTTCATAGCTTCAAAACGGACAGAGAGCCACTGACTTCCTGTTTGCTGCTTCTCATCTCTGTGAGTATAAGACATCTCGCTGACACCCTACAAGGGGAAAAACAAAGCAGATCAACCATCTTATCTTCAGCCCACCTGGTAAGAGCACTCATTGCTCTCTTTTTGATCCTGCTCTAGTAGGAGTACTTTTGAGATACCTGTGGCATTGAAAAGGGATGACACGGAGTTAGTGTCTCTTAACATCTTTCTTCTGGCTGTGTCGAGGATCGCGACTAAGTGTGTGTGTTATGTGTGTACAGACCGCATTGAAGGCATGGATATATGTTTTATCCTGGATGGTATTCTCATCCTATATGGCATCATCCTCACCGTGCTGTACTGCAGACTGAGGGTAAGGCAAACAGGAACCACACACACAGATCGCCATGATGGACTGTAGAAAGTGTACAGCTGTTACTTCTTCCTTCTAGACAGTGCGTGAAGGAAATGCACTTTAATGCAGCAGTTTGTTTAAAGTTGCTCTTTATGTTAGGCTGGAAAAAGTATAGCAACTCTTATAAAACTTCCCCAATTTCTTTAGATAACTTTTTTAAAACTTGTGGTTCCTTGTGTACGAGCATTCTTTTGAGTCAATTATCTAGAATCATTTTACATCCTCTTCAACATTTCACATGATTAATAAACTACAATGGGAGTCACCCAATCACATGCTTTCTTATTTCTTTTTTGACAGATGCGTCCGTCCAGCAGCTCATCTGGCAGTTACCCAGAGGTAAAATTAAATCTGTGTTATTGCGTAAAATTATAAAGAAATGGGGAATTTAATCTAAACACAAGTGTGTATAGAAAAGGGTTTTTTTTAGCGTATCAAAGCTGTTTTTTCTCTGTAACATCATAGTTCAGCTTAAACACCAAACCCTTTTTATCTCTCTTTCCTTTATTCACAAGGGGTCTCCACATATTGACATAGCAGATTCTAACAACAGTCCTTCCTCACACAACTCCAAATAGATTTATGTCTCCTCCCAAAGTTAAAACCAAGGATCTCTTGCTTGTTAAGCAAACATGTCAATTACTATGGAGCCACTTGCCCTCAAAAAAAAAAAAAAAAAGAAGGAAAAAACAACCAATTTAATTGAACTTGATCAGTTTTGTCAGGACGAGTGGTCAAATAACAAACCAGAATTATGGCAGAAGCTTAATTCTGGTTAATGGCTATCAAAAGTGTCTGGTTGAGGTCCAGCTTGCTAAGGGACATTTAACCAAATATTAGTGAGGTGTGTGTGTGTATATTTGAGTTTGTGTGGATTAGCACAAAAGTCTAAAATAAATTGTTTTCTTAAGCCACTAAAGATGTTTGTTGTATAATGATTCCAGCCTGGAAAAATAACAGTTAAAAAACCCTTTAAAAGCCCAAAATTACCATGACATTCATGCCCACGATGAGTGTATGTAAACTTCTGACCACAACTGTGTGTTCTTCTATCACAAAGATTCACCACAGCAACTTTGACAATCTGCTAAGACAATAAATAAAAATTGGATAACTAATAGCAGATTGTGTCATGGTGTAACATCATCACATCATTCGATGCGTCTGTGACTAATGTAGCCCTTTATGATATGATGCATAATTTCTTTGTCTTCAGGGATCGGCGGGACCGTCACCGCTCCAAGAGCCGAGACAGCAGCAGTCGTGGAGACAAATCGGTCACCATCCAAACACCCGGAGAGCCGCTTCTCGATGCAGAGTCGACCCGCGGAGATGACCGGGTCAGTTACAGTGTTTTCTGCTTTTCTTTTTGTTCATGCATCGTCATCTTTGACCTCATTTAATCACCAGTCATTATTCTAATTAATGGTTAACATTGTGCATATCTTATCCCACCAATGTTTCTTAAATCTACAATTTGTTCAAAAAATGTTAGTGACTTTCGGTCCTTTAGCTGCATGTCACTAACATTGACAAAGTTAATAGGCTCAGATTACCCTGGAGCTGTACATGCTAAAATATTATGTTTAATTAAAGTCAAACACTCAGCTGAACTACAAATAGTCCTTTAAACCAAAACTTTGACCTCTCTACTTTATTCAGGTCAAAAAGCTATTGCTGAATTCCCCATCAGTTTTCCTTTGTTATCCATTCAAAGTGGTCTCTCAGATTCTTTCAACAGCTCAAGTGTGTTTTCTTAGAGCCGTTAATCATATCGTTTCAGTCCTTTTCTGCCTCGTCAGTTAGCGAGGAGAGAGCAGGTGCTGACTTTAAAATAATCTGACTTCACTATTTAAAGTGCAGAGACGTGCTTTTATTAAGGAGCCCGAGGGGACGTATTTGTTCTCAGATGAAGTGAAGAGTCATTCTTAAAATAGTAAAGGGGCACTTGCATTAAAGCTTAACCAACCTGCAATCGCTCTTGGGACAAAGATGTTCAGGGCTTGAGCCCTTAGCTTCTAATTTTAAGTTGAGGGCTTTTCAGCTGCTCAAAAAAGATTTTTAAAAAAGCAAGAACTGTTCATTTGTGCTTACTCTGCCTTCCAACCAACCCTTTCATGTAAACATCTTGTGTTCATATATGTAGGATAAGTAGCTTCAGATTTTGTCTCACACCCTCCTTTTCTTAGGTATGGCTGAGCAACTCCTGTTCACACATACAATCCCAGCATTCTTAGCCTCTTGAAGAGGTGCAACTTAAGTCAAAGCTGGGGGTGAACTTAATATATTACTCAGCATAGAGATTAAAATGACTAATTGTTTTCTTTGTTGTGCAGGATGACAACTGGGGAGAGACCACCACTGTGGTCACTGGCACCTCAGAGCACAGCATCTCGAACGAGGATCTGACCCGCGTCACCAAAGATTTGGAGGAGTCAACTCCACTGGAGTGCAAGCGTTTTGTGGGTCCGGCGTTGGGAGGCTGCCTGAGCTTCTTTGCTCTGGTCACGCCATTAGCCTTCCTCATCCTGCCGCAGGTCTTGTGGCGTGACGCCCTCGAGCCTTGCGGCACGCCCTGCGAGGGCCTCTACGTCTCCCTGGCCTTCAAGCTCTTGGTCCTGCTCATCTCCTCCTGGGCTCTGTTCCTCCGCCCTCCCCGCGCCACCCTCCCACGCTTTTTTGTCTTCCGCTGCCTCCTGATGGTGCTGGTGTTCCTGTTTGTGGCGTCGTACTGGTTGTTCTACGGCGTGCGTGTGTTGGAGCCCAGAGAACGGGACTATAGGGGGATTGTGGAGTATGCTGCCTCGCTGGTGGATGCTCTGCTCTTCATCCAGTACCTGGCTCTGGTGCTTCTGGAAGTCCGACACCTTCAGCCAGCCTTCTGCCTTAAGGTGGTGCGGAGCACAGATGGTGCCAGCAAGTTCTACAACGTGGGCCACCTCAGGTTTGTGACACCAGCCATGGCATTTAATTAATATCTTTACAGAATTGTTGTTTGTTACTTGGTTGCCTTCTAGTAACAAAATACGATAAACCTGCTGAGAGGCAGAAGATTAACCTCATGAGTCCCAAACTCTTATTCGCAATGTACCACAGACAGGCTTGTGCGCAGCAGCATGAAGTATAAACTGCAGAAAAGCTAAATGCTATGTCCTTACATGAGGATGCAGGGTCTCAGTTACTCTATGGAGTGATTTTTGCTGGTATGGATTGGGTCCTTTGTCTTTACAAAGGAAAGAGTCACTGCAAATCAATACAAAGTTGTCTTAAGTGGGTTTAAAATGTCTGAAAGTTGATACTTGGGTGTGTTCACGCTTGTATTTGAGAAGCTTTACAAGCTTTTTTTTCTCTGCCTGTGCTCTGAAACCACATCCTAGAGCGGGAAAAATGTATTTTTAAGTTGTCAAAATCAATCCCACACAGATTGTTTTTTGGAAACAAACTGAAGGGGAAGTGTGCGTGCATGCATATCTCCATCAGGCCATTATTCTTTTTTAAACGTGAGCAGCATGCAGAGACATCACAACTTAAATCTGATTTCCTTTTTCCTTTTTTGATGATTCAAGGATGTAATCCATCCCCAGCAGTCACACCTACATCGTGTACACGGGCATTATTTTAAGTAACTTTAGTAAGATTTCAGTGAAATATAAAAAAAGCGTGACACTGGCAGGGACTCCATGGTTTTGGTGATTCTGGTGGTCAAGAACTGTTTAATGGAAATATAATATACGCTCAATTATTCTGATTATCCCAATGGACTGGATAAAAATGTGCATATATTTCTTAGCATATTGCATATATTTATTGTTGTTGAAACTAAGAAATGTTTCAACATCAATAAATATATTAACTTTAAAGCGGAAGTTTCACAAAACCTAGGTAAATATTAAACTACACCAAAAAACAGTTTGGGGGATGTGAGGGGATGCATTTTACTTTGAAGTATTTTACTGTCCAAACATCAGTGTATCTTATTTTAAAGTAATAGTTGAGGTGTGACATTAAACGAGATCACCATCAAAGGCAGAAATGTGAGGGAGGTGCTGAGATATAGTTTACATTTACGTCTGTATTAACTGCAGCCTGTCCGTTGTGCAGTCAGCAGCTGTTGTTTTGACCTGTACTTACTGTGACACTGACGACAGATACTGTGTTTTAGCATCCAGCGGGCAGCTGTCTGGGTTTTGGACCGTTATTACAGCGACTTCCCCGTCTATAACCCAGCTCTCCTCAACCTGCCCAAGTCCATCCTGTCCAAGAAGATGACAGGCTTCAAAGTTTACTCTCTGGATGGTAAATATAGTTTCGTCCTTGCTCTGACGTCTGTCTTTAATCCAGTAGTAAATCGTTTTTTCTTTAATTTTCGTTGCCGTTTGTTGGTCTACGTCAGAAGCAGGGTGGCTTTACAGCAAGAACGGGAAACATAAAGAACTCCTTAAACTACCTGTCTGAGTTCTAATGTGCAGTCCAATACTCCCTCCTTCGGTCTTACAGAAAACACCACCAATAACTCCACAGGCCAGTCCCGGGCCATGATAGCAGCTGCTGCTAGACGGAGAGACAACTCCCACAACGAGTATTACTACGAGGAGGCTGAGATGGACCGAAGGATCCGCAAACGGAAGGCCAGGTCAGATACACTCCACGTTCCTCGTTGGCCTCGAGGGCCATTTATCACCCGCATAACTTTTCGGTTGTTCATCTTTGATCTGTTGGGTATGTCACCACAGTTCTGTTACTCTAATAGGTTGGTGGTGGCGGTGGAAGAGGCCTTCACGCATATCAAGCGCCTCCAAGAGGAAGAGGCGACCTCATCTCCCAAACACCCCAGAGAGGTAATGGATCCTCGAGAGGCAGCCCAAGCCATCTTTGCCCCGATGGCCCGGGCCATGCAGAAGTACCTGAGAACCACACGGCAGCAGGCCTTCCACAGTATGGAGAGCATCCTCACACACCTTCAGTTCTGCATCACGCACAACATGACACCCAAGGTGAGTCGTCAATAGTTCCAATACAGCAAACAGCCTAATTGATATTAAAATATTTGTTTGTTTTGTTTTGTTTTTAAACATGTTTGAGTATTGATGGCTGTTTCTTAGCAGAATTTTCTACTAGAGAATCGAATACATCTCTAACTCAGAGGCGCCTAAGTCCCTGATGATAGCAGCCACTTGATACTGTTTTCAGTCTTGTCCTGTGTGTACAGATACTTTCTATTGATTATCAAAACCCTTCTATATTATTTACCATAAGGATGGTTTTTTTTATTTATTTTTTGCTATTTAAGCCCAAACAGTCCCTCATTGAGTGCAGATGTACCTACCTTTACTCCTGAATACTCTCTCTTTTTGGGACACTTTCTTTTATTTAAAAAACAAAACGGCTTCTATCAGTTGCTGTCTTATTCACAAGAGGTCAACACACTGGATCAATGTGCATATTTGATCTGGTATGGATGCTCCTTCCATCCCAACATGGCCCGTCCAAGGGATTTGTGCTTCCTTTCGGTCTCGAGAGGAGATGCCAGGGATCTAGTGTTAGCCAAATATGTTCCCACTGTAGGACAGAGCCACTTTAATTAAATATAAAATAAATACAACACAATAAGGGGATCTTTGCCACTACAGAAAGGCAGAATTATTGTAGGATAGTATTTCTTTTACTTGTTTTAGCGGACAGTGTAGATCGATGAAATGATCTTCAAAGCCGCGTCATTAGTGATGTAAATGTAGTTAAGTGCTTCATGAGTGTACTTGGGCACGGCACTTCAGCACTAAGACAGCTGGTGTTTCCTTGGTGATTAAACTCCAACATCCTCCTTTTCAGGCTTTCCTGGAGCGTTACCTCACCGCCGGCCCCACCATGCAGTACCAGCAGCAGAACGGTAGGGGGCGCCAGTGGACTCTGGTGAGCGAGGAGCCGGTGACCTCAGCCCTGCGTCAGGGTTTGGTCTTCTCCCTGCGACGCCTGGACTTCTCCCTTGTTGTCACGGTGACGCCGCTCCCCTTCCTGCGGCTCGGGGAGGAGTTCATCGACCCAAAGAGCCACAAGTTCGTCATGAGGCTGCAGTCTGAGACCTCGGTGTAAAGGCGTCCAGTAAAACGTCTTCTTTTTCCTACACTTTCCTCTCCCCTCGTGCTAACTCCTCCTGGATCACTGATGCGGTGGGACATGTGGAGGCCATGTGGTCTATTCTCGCCCAATCATTTCCTCTCTCATCAACAAACAAACCATTCAGAGAGGAACATCTCTGCGGGCCTCATCCTTCCTGTTTTGTGATCATCACAGATGCTTTGTGTCAGACTGTGATCAGCTCAACGATTGTTCAAACCCTGGAAGTAAACAGATGCCTTGACCTTTTCTTTTCTTGACAATGTCTTTACGGCACACTGTAAAGTTCTTTCTTCCTCTAAACGGGGACTTTTCCTCCTTTTGCCTCTTCTTTTGCTGTAACCACTGGACTAGTTTACTGTGCTGACTCAACACGTAAACACCAGAGGAAGGGGATTGCATCACATGTGTCACTTCCTCTTATTTGTGTCTTAAAATCAGTCCAACTGGATTTCAGCTCTGACTGCAACGCTGATGTACCACTGCCCTCTGGTCCCCTGTCAGTCGTTGTGTTTAACATAAGCAGGACTGTTGTTGTTTTTTTACATATATATGTTAGAGGAGTGACTTTTTAACTTTCAGAATGTAGCATTTTGTGCAGTGAGTTAACATGTTCTCTCTTGTGGCCTTGAAGGGCCAGTATGTCCTTTTTTTAAAAATTTATGTGACTATTAAGCAAAATGGAAGTACATTCCTAACTCACTGCAACTCCAAACTGTATGTTCATGATTGTTTAAATATGCAGCTTTAGTTTATTTAACACTGGTACTTTTACTATTGATGTCACAGTTTTAGCAGGACGTGTTACAGAATAAAAATGACATTTTCACCTGGTATTAACTGAGATTCTGAACATTACTTGCGTGAGGATCTTAAAGTGTGAGCTTGACGATGTTCTGAATTTTTCGTACTGTCAACAAATCCAGCAAAAAGACCAACAGTGCACTCGTCTCGAGTGTCATTACTTGGAATCTATTCATTGCTGCTACTTCCTAAGAACAACTCATACATGGATTATGCTGTTATTATTCTTTTTTAACTCATGGATACTATGTTTTTGGAAATGTTACTCATGCCTAAGTAGTAAGTGGATTTACTCAGTGCTATTTATAGCTGGTTACTTTTAGATACAATTGAGTATTTTTGGCAGCAGGATGGCGTGAGTGGAAAAATAAATTGCACAGCAATGGAAAAACTGGAGCCAGTAACAGGCCGATGCCACTCTTTACAGAGTAAAACATTTCTAATATCACATAATGGCTCATATTTTCAGAATATTACTTAGATTCTTTAGTAAGTTATACTCACGCTTTATGTTCTGTCTGCTAGTCAGTCTCTCCAATGGACAAACTAAAAATATGTCTTGATATCAGCTCGTATCAGAGCAACGTGTATGCTGATACTGAAATATGTGTCTTAGTGGATATTAACCTGATGTATTGGCTGTGCTTTAGAGAAAAAAAAACACATCACGTAGTACATTGGTGTTCTGGGTGTAGTTTTTGAATAGACCAGTAAATTATATCAGGGTCTCAGTACCCATACAAAGCATGTTTTCTTTTTACTTTTTCTTTCTTTTTTTGGGGGGGGGGGGTTAATAATTGACTGGGGGTATTTTTGGTCTTTTTATGGCTTTTATTTGACAATATGAAAAACAAGAGTATTACCAGCCTCACTCTTTAATGCAAATGCAATCTGTGCGTCCGATATGTTGAAATGCTGGTAAAATCTTTGCATTTTAAGTGATAAAATCTGCAGCTTTTCTGTGACTGACTGGGGGGGAAAAGCATACTCTGTGCTAAATTCTAGTTAACTGTTTGTGCGACCATGTTTTAAGAGTTTCCTTAACAGATACTGACAGAGTTGCTGCATTATTGAAGGTATATTTAGATTCTGCGGAAGAAGTTCCGCCTGCACACTAACTCTAAGCCACCCTAATAATCAGATAACAGCATTTTGAGTCACTGTGTGCAGGCGCTCATCTGTCATAAAACTTCAGTCCATCGGAAAATGCCCTGATTATTAATATTGGAAGCGAAATAATATGGTGTATCGTTACAGTGTAATACCAGGTGTAAATGTAGTCAGTCTCACACTTCTTACACAATTAAATGAATCCAGATGTGGCAGCTGTAGTTTAACTATGAGCTAGCTTATTGTGGTTTAATGTTTGTTTGTTTTTTCTTACATGCATATCTACAAGAATCCCAAACCAGACATGTGATTGTAACTCCTCTCTGCAGGTCCTCTGCAGCAGTAGCTTATCACCGCCTCGCCTTGTGCCACGAGCTGAAACGGGCACAGTGAACATGCTGCCTATGACCTTTCCTCAGCCTTAGTTTCCAGATGTGCAGGAGCAGCAGACTCTGACTCCCCCACCCCTTCGTCTGCAGGTCCCGATACTTAACCCGATGTTTCCACCCCACATGCTGAGCCACAGAAACAGACAAAAGCAGGCTGACTGTTTTTGTCAAATGCGGTTTTAAAAAGTCCTTCACATTTCTGAAAAATGAAACAAACAAACACCAGGTCCGATTTGTTCGATATTTCATCTGATTTTTGTAAAAAAACAAACAAAAAAAAAACAAATGAACAAAAGAATGCATGCATAGATTTATTTTGGGCTCCAAATCCTTTTTATAATAAGTTGTTTTCTATCATTTTTACGGTGCCTAAGTTATGATGATGCAATTTTCAGAATGTAAAAAAAAAATTGTAGATCTGTGTTGTATTTTGTTCTTTTTGGTAACTGTAGCTTGTATAGTGTGCTAGGCTTTTTCCATTATTAAACCATTTATTACTTACAAGTCTCCTTGTTTCTTAACTTGCAGCATGGGGAACTTTAGTCTGTAAAGCAAAACATGTGAATGAAGCTAAGAAGCAAAAGGAGCTGAGACTTCTCTTTTTAATGTGGTTGAAGAAAATTAATATCTGCATTTGATCATTTTGGTTTGCTTTAATAAGAATTTGTTCTTGAATGCTGTTACCCAAAGCCGATTTGGGCCTTTGGACGTGAACAATTTTCACCAGTTTTTCACAAGACTTTTAGAGGAACTTCTGTCAAGTTGGGGGATGGCAGTGTGGTAGGCGTGTGGTTTCATAGCTTCAAAACGGACAGAGAGCCACTGACTTCCTGTTTGCTGCTTCTCATCTCTGTGAGTATAAGACATCTCGCTGACACCCTACAAGGGGAAAAACAAAGCAGATCAACCATCTTATCTTCAGCCCACCTGGTAAGAGCACTCATTGCTCTCTTTTTGATCCTGCTCTAGTAGGAGTACTTTTGAGATACCTGTGGCATTGAAAAGGGATGACACGGAGTTAGTGTCTCTTAACATCTTTCTTCTGGCTGTGTCGAGGATCGCGACTAAGTGTGTGTGTTATGTGTGTACAGACCGCATTGAAGGCATGGATATATGTTTTATCCTGGATGGTATTCTCATCCTATATGGCATCATCCTCACCGTGCTGTACTGCAGACTGAGGGTAAGGCAAACAGGAACCACACACACAGATCGCCATGATGGACTGTAGAAAGTGTACAGCTGTTACTTCTTCCTTCTAGACAGTGCGTGAAGGAAATGCACTTTAATGCAGCAGTTTGTTTAAAGTTGCTCTTTATGTTAGGCTGGAAAAAGTATAGCAACTCTTATAAAACTTCCCCAATTTCTTTAGATAACTTTTTTAAAACTTGTGGTTCCTTGTGTACGAGCATTCTTTTGAGTCAATTATCTAGAATCATTTTACATCCTCTTCAACATTTCACATGATTAATAAACTACAATGGGAGTCACCCAATCACATGCTTTCTTATTTCTTTTTTGACAGATGCGTCCGTCCAGCAGCTCATCTGGCAGTTACCCAGAGGTAAAATTAAATCTGTGTTATTGCGTAAAATTATAAAGAAATGGGGAATTTAATCTAAACACAAGTGTGTATAGAAAAGGGTTTTTTTTAGCGTATCAAAGCTGTTTTTTCTCTGTAACATCATAGTTCAGCTTAAACACCAACCCTTTTTTATAATTTCCTGTAAGCAAGCTGACCACCGACCTATATTATTTATACTCTATGTATGTCGTCACAGTTTCCATCAGTGTTTTTTTCGCACCAAGTAACAGTGTCAGATCCCACTTCCTGTAAAAAGGGTCTAGATTTGCACATTACTCGTATCTCAAAATCTTAGAGTAGATGAAAAAAAAAAAAAGAGAGACTGCCAAATGCCAGTCAGTACCCGAAGAAGCATCCAGTTATTTCACATGTCCAACACTTAGTTGAAAGAATTGCCCCTGAACGCACTCTTGATCATGTCTTTATTTCCATTCACACAGAAACAACCCGCTGGGGGAGGCATCTATGCGGTGAGACTTCTCATTCTAATGCTTAAAAACATATTTAAAATGGCACATGACGGAAAAGTGACAGCACATTGCACAGTAGATGTTTTTCTTTTTTTATTCATCTCGCTGGTTGTCACAAAATCACACTTAAGAGTCGGTGCAGGAAATGAACAGTGTCGTTTTAGAGCAGCTTTCACATCAAGTTTGTGCCACTTCACAGTATGTGTGTCTGTCTGCTTGCATCCTGCAGGGTCTGACCACCCAAAGTACTGACACCTACGAGACCATCAGACTGGACAAAAAGCCCATTGTCTAAAACAACACAGATTTGGTTCAATGAGGATGCTGTTCACAAAAACACAGTGTTACACCTGTTGAAGCTTTATACTGTATAATACGTTGTGTTGTCTTGTAGCGGGCCGGGGCATAGACTTCCTATATGCACATTTTTCACATTTACTTTGTAAAAAATGCTTCCTGTATTCTTGAACTTTATAGTGTGCATGCATGAGATGTAAAATTACTAAATAATTTAACTGTTTACTAATAAAAGCTGTGTCGATGAGTTTAAACTGTGTGACTCTTTGTGTCTCACAGCTGCTCTTGCTGAAGTTGCAAAGAAAAGAGAAGTTTGAGGTTTCTGTTCAAGTCTTCCCTTTTTTTTATTTGAGCTGTCTGGACTAGAACTTCGAGCCGTGTAAACAGAGCTTAACTTCACTAACCGACCTTTAGGAAAAGCTTTATAATCCCATTGCTTTAATCTGTCATTGCTTTAGTTTAATTCTAGCTGATCGATGCTTTGTGTCAGAAAATTCTGATGACTATAAATACTGGTTTCTTAAAAGCTTCTTTTAATGTCTTTAAGAGGCTTTATTTTTAAAGATCTGACTAACAGGTGAAAACACAAAGAAGCTCAGTTTGCAGATGACGTCAAAGAGGTTTATGACGAGAACTGAGAAGTTGGAACCAAATTGGCAATAATGAAACAATTGTTTCTGCATTTCTTCCTTTCTTAATAAAGACTTTATGATTACTGGTTAAAGTCAGGCAACACTTTTAGGGTTTTTAGACTAGTTGCAAAACCAAATGTAACATAGTGACTGATGCAGAAAGATTTTTATTTTTTAATATTGGCCTTTTCCTACTTTGGAAACATCTTATTTCTTTGTGTTAGTTTTTCATAATAGATGTCACCTTTCTATTTCTGAACCAACTATTATATATTGGCATTGCTCATAACTCAATGTTTCAAAGAAACTCAACGTATGATGGTATTTCACAAGTAATCCAAATTATGCAAAAAGTCAGTATTTTACAATTTTGATCCTTTTTTTAATAACTTGTGCTAATCTCTGAGGCCCAGCTTCAGTGATTCATCTTTATCACAGTTTGTATAGCAGAAAATTAATTGATGATACTAAAAACATCCTCAAAGACCAACTTCTTCCAAAGGCCCTGAAAGGTTTTTGTATGATAAAGCCCCACATTGAGAACCAAATGTGATAATAAAGTTGCACAGAGATCAGCAAATTAACACTTTGGATCCTATCCCCTGATCTTAAGCCAATCAAGAATCTACTGCCAGGATGTAAATGGCAGGTGGACAAGCAGGACCCCACAAATTGTCATCAGCTTCCAGCAATGCTACAGCAGGAATGGATCGCCATCAAGCTTTGGGCCAAAAGCTGATATCCAGCATGCCACAAAACTGTAAAAGTTACATTAACTAAAATAAAAGCATGCACAAAATGAACAAAAAACCTAAGTAAAAATGTAGGTGTATGAAACAAAACTACTCAACTTCTTTCTTCCTTAAAAAAATATTAGAACACATGTCACACAAATACTTTAGAAAACTGTCAAAAAGGTTAAACTACACTCTTACTTTTTAGGAATTAAAAAAAATATCATGTTTTTGTACCCAAATTAGAGGTGGGACACTAAACTGGCACACTACACTGACAAATCAATATAATTTGGCATCCTAATAGCGCAAACCATAACGTGCTTTACAGTTTTTAACAGTCAATAACAACAATAACCATATTTTAAAATTTAAAAATATGATTTTGATTTTTTTTTAAGTATAAATTAGAAAATAATTGTAATTTTAAAAAAAGTATGTTACATTTTTTGTAACATCCTCTCTGTTGATTGCAGACGCAGGTAAGACCAGATAATACCACCAACAGAAAATCCTGATATGTGACTGTTCTGTTTAGGTGTCTAGATCTCACAGATAAATGTAACAGCTGCAACAAAGGACGTTTAAAATCTCTTTATTTGTCTCACCTGCCTTTGACATGGAAATATAACTGGAAATGTATTCAAAACAGACTCACAGGAGGCTGTACTTACCGGCTGTGTGCAGTTTTCCCCGAGGCTCCTCGCAATGACAGGACAAACTTGCTCACACTGAAGCGTCACACAAGCATTCTGCTGTTACAACATACCTGCCCCCAGCATTATCTCGTGAATCAAAGGAAGAAGTAAACATCTATGTTTGTGATTCCCACGGCTCAATGAGCATATTTTTTCCTTTTAATATGGGGGGTCTCTCCCCCCCTTTGTATTGCTACGTTTTTTATGCGTCTTTAAAAGTCAATTTAAAAATATAACAGGAAACGGTTTAAATACAAAGCTGATATGTTTCAGACTGAGTGGATCGAGTGTTAGAAAGTGCAGCAAAGGTTCCGTGTATCAAGTCTTGCTGAAGAAGTGTTGTCAGAAACTGTCCGCAAGTCTAAAGCTTCCTGTTTGCAGTCTGGGTTTGTGGATCAGGCCATCTGAGCTTAAGCCAATAAATAAACCATTGAAAGTAAAAACAAAACCCCTCACAAACTTTCAGGTTATTTTGGAAAAATAGAACAAACTAGCATCGATAATGGTTTTACCTTCAAGTACTTCTGGGGAACTCAGTTCGATGAATGCTGTGAAAACAAACTTCATCCACCCATTTTCTTCCACAGAGAAGAATTGGGGTCACATTCTGAAAAGAAATGAATGTCTCTGGGTTAATTATATATTTTAAAAAACCTTTCAGTTTAAATTGCTGGTATAAATGGAAGATGACCATTAGGGGAGGAATTAAAGCATACACGGTTATGTGAGGATTGTTAAAGAAAGGGGGCCAGAACCAGGCCGCCGAAAGGGTTAAATCGAGCCCACTAGCCTTGGATAACGTGAAAACAGCGATGACAGGGGGCATAAATGCTTTCTATCAAATGAGACAGTGTAAGAAAGGAGAAAAATTCATGACATAATGTGTTACTAAAGAATAACATACACATTACCGGTATGTTATGTCTAAAAACAACTTGGTCGTATGCGGTATGCATCCTGCCCACGTAAGACTATGTTGTGGCCCACCGTGTAAGATGAGTTTGAAACCCCTGGTTTACACAAAGAAACATCAACAACACTTGCACTATTGAATCTTCACCGTCTCCCCACAATGAATACTTTTTAATGGCTAATCCTACTTGCGGCTTTTCAGATCCTTTAGATGCTGTCATTAAAAACTTGTAGCATCTAAAATTCTTCCTAACAAACAGTAAAGTAACTATTCTACACTCATACAAGCATGAAAGCGAGTCATTTAAAACCATGTTTGTGCAGTTCACCTGTTTATTTCACTGGTAAGCCACAGTAGTGAGGGTTTTAACCACACAATAAAAAACTACCGTTTTATTCTTCGTGTTCTTTTCTCTCTTTCACCCTTTCTTCCATTACTTTTTGATCTTGTTTTTCTTCTCTTGTTTTGTTCTAGTTTTTCTTTGTGATCTATTATCTTGAATATAAAAGGTTCTTGATCTTGGTGATTAGCAAAATGGGAAAAAGAAACAAACAAACAAAAAAGAAAATGCAAGTTTAGCTGATAGACAAAATAGATTCATAAATAAAAGTAGCCACCACTAATACAGTCGTTTCAAACAAAGTCTGATAAATAGGGGAGACCGGGGATAGTTGTAACATTTTTGACATTTCTGTCTGTAAATTGGTAGTGGATTCAAAATGTAATGCAAAGTATTTACATGTCTCTGCTATTAAATAGTGCAGCTATTTTCTCTGCAGCACAATTACCCATTGCATGGTATGGCCTCAAACACAAAGAGTGAAATGTTACAATTAACCCCATAGTCTGGGTTAGTTGTAACATATCCTGGGGTGAAATGTAACACAATGAAATAAGGGTACTAACAAAACATTAACATGTAATCTTTGTTTATTCAACACATGAATGCACTTAGATCCATTTATGTAGCTGTGTGTGTGTGTGACAGAATGCAGAAATCTAGCTTTTGAACATATTCCAACCCCCCAAAAAAGACAAATTATGGAATTTTCTGCAACTGAATATTTCATTAATTTTGGTTGGTCTTCCTTGAGTTTGGCCTCATTGGCTCAGTGGGCATTATAACCTACAACTCTTGCACCAATTTTGAACATAACAATGAAGCTGAAAAAATGTAGTTGTTCACCAGCATCGCGATTCCATTACTTTTTATCATGGCTTACCTTGGTGTGGTTTGCAAAGTGCTTCAGAAAGATGAGGAAATCTGTTTCTTGCACCCATCCTGATTTATTTCCACTACCAGTACTTCCTACTGGTCCATCTCTGACACAGTGGTCTGCATAACGTATGTGTGGGAACACAAACAGTGAAGTAATTGTGTTGCCAATGGCATTAACTGCATATACAAAAGCGACCAGTGAACCTCTCTCTGCTGATGTTGTTGCCCCAACTTGTTTAATATAAGTTAAAGTAATAGTGTGGTAAGTTGTAACATCTGCATTATTGTTACAACTAACCCAGACTGTTGCTGTTACAACTGACCCAGACTCCTATAGCCATGAACTAGCTAACATTACAGCCAACGGCTAAAACACTAGCTCTAAAGACCTACACAGAATATATCCCCATAGACATACAAATGACATAATTTAAGTTTGATGAGTTTAACTGCAAAGCAGATAATGCTATTAGAAATTGAAATAAAGTAGAAAAACTTACTTTTTGGCATACAAATTACTTTTTTTCGTGTTAAATTGTCTGTGTTTGACAAAATGTGCTGATTTTTCACATGTGATAGCAGAACTGAATTGGGCATGCACAGGATGAGTCACATCATTTGAAACTTAGCCCTGATTGGAGAAATTGGAAGTAACGTTACAACTATCCCCGGTCTCCCCTACTCTCCAGAGTAAGGATTTTATTTACTTGCGTAATTGTAAGAGGACATTGTTGGATTTGTCCAAGAAGAGTAGGGGTGTTAATTAGTGTTACTTTTATAGCTTATTGATAAAATTGCAGACTACAATCAAATGATCAACAGTTTAACTGTTAATTTGATCCCTAAACATGTGTAGTTAGATATAAGAAGTTAATCTTGTGAAATTGCTTGACATAAAGTATATTTTTGGTTAATTTTCCGACCCTACCACTGCATTTTCCTCTTGCGTCACCTGAAAGCAGCGCTACTGGGCGTGTCAGTGGGCGGGGCGGAGGGAAACAGGTGTAGCGACTCAACCCAAACCTGTATTCTGGTGCTTCTGCCTTCGCGTGACAAGCGAGGTTGTTCTTTTATAAACACGAACTTTATTTTTCTGTCGTGCGAAAGCTCAAATGCAGATTTAACATCTTCCGTTTATTTGTTCATTTCACTGGAAATGAAGATAGAGCCTCTATCAGCTTTTTGCTAACCATTGTTCTTTTATCAGTGGAAGTGTGATTTTTTTTAAAACATTATTTCTCAGTTGAACAGGAAACATCTGCTGCCCCTGGCTCCTTGCTGCGGGGTTTGTGTTTTTTAAACCAACCCTCAATTTCCCAGGTGAATTTGAACATGGAAGCTTAACACGAGATCTGAATTTCCCAGAAGAAGGCTAATAAAGAGAAACTTTTACTTTGGAACCAAACATGAAGTCAGCTGGAAAAAGTGCTTTACTCCTGGCATTGCTTTCTTTAATCGGTGAGTTTTCTGTTACATTGATTTGCATGTAAATTAACAGTGACACTGCTTCATAAAACACGAATCACCTGTCTAAGCAAGTCATTTGGGGAATTCTGTGTTCTCCTTTCTGTTAACTGGGTCTGTGACGATTAAATATTTGACAGACATGGCATAAAGCTTGGCTATAGTGTCTAAAATCTATACATTTTGAACTTCGTGGTAGCTTCTTGTGCTTAATGTTGGTGTAATTAACCCAGCAATCTTCCTATGAGTGTTAAAACAATGTCCTTTAATATAGAAGGGCTCTTTCCCCCCCCAAAGACACTGAATTATTATTATTGCAGTCTTCATAAGTCTCTATGCCTTTGCTTTACTTGCCATGGTTTTGGTCCAATTGTGCAAATTTTTTTTGTTACAACATGCAATGATTTCTGTCTCCAAATCTTAAGCTCATCATGTCACCAAAGATTTATAAATTTAGAAAACTTTTTAATTTTTGCTTTTTCTAAACAGACATATTGGATTTTTTTGGCTACTTCTGATCTTTTAATTGCATTAACTCAACTGGAGAAATGAATGAAAACCTGAACTACAGCCACCAAACTCTTTAACTTGTGACAAGCTGTTACAAGCAGGGGCGTTTCTAGGATTTTTTTAATGGGGTGGCTGGGGGCATGGCAAAAAAATCAGTCAGGTGGGGTGGGACGGGTCAGTTTTGCTAACTTTTTCTAAATGCAGAAAATCATCAACCAACATCTAGATAGACAAAAATAAAGCTGATTGCATCACTAAACGGATATCATATCACTGCAAATCATCTCAGTCTAAGCTGAGTAATGTCAGAATAAAGCAAAAAGACTAAATTTCCAGTTTTTGTTGAGCTGCAGTTTAAGGTGCTGGTGAGAAACCATATTAGTTTCACATTGTGTATAGTTCTTTTTCTTTTCCTTTTTTTAATTGCAAAACTATTGACTACAACTCCCTAAGAAATGTAACCCAATAAGTTTTTAGATTGCAGTGAGATTCTAGGGTGTGCCTCATCAAATTACCTTTACATTTTTAATTTGTGCACACAGATATACTCGAAAGCAAGAAGGTAATTCCCAGGGTAGGATTTAAACCTGTACAACATGCATAAAAGGAACAATAATTTACAATAATTTAGAAGACAGTCTTTTGTTTCCTTTCTTTCTTTGCATGTGCATTAGCTGCACCATCACATAGCTAGGCTTTTTTTCTGCTGGCTACTAAATGTATAAAAAAAAAAAAACACCCTCAAATGAATCAGAGTTCATGGACAGGTGCCACCTCATGCCCTTCTGGACCTGCCCTGGGTTGCAAGTAGCTTTATATGGTACAACAAGCCAATAAAACAAATGTTTGTTTTGGACAACAGCGTCCTTCCAAATTTTTTTGCAATATATTTGGGAATGCCTTTTGCTTTTTTAGATAACCTGTATTGACCTGTGCAACAGATCTAGCTACCCTCAGATAAATGGTTCTCAATTCAATTCATTTCAGCTGTAATTATATAATGCCAAATAACCACACAGTCACCCCAAGGTGCTTTATACTGTAAGGTAAAGGACCTAAAGGAGAGAAATCCCCAACTATAAGATGATATAATATGAGCAAGCACTTGGTGACTGTGGGAAGGACAAATTCCCTTTTAACAGGAAGACGCCTCCAGCAGAACAAGGCCAGTTTGGCGGCGGCGGCGGGGGGTACTCTCTCTGCAGTTTGTAGTTTGAAGCATCTTAACAGAGATAAGTTGATCGTATTTAAAATTGTAGCATTAATGTAGCATTAACAGTCTGCGGTTCTGCTGCACTCGTGAGGCCAGCTGACTATCTCAGAGTTATCAGTAATTCTGCAGCCATGAACATGGGTGAACTGTTCTGGTGTCCACATACTTTTGTCCGTGCAGGTGTGGAGAAAGAAGCAGCAGAACAGAATGCAGCTCCGTCACATTCTTACTCTTACTAAGTGATTTAGAAGTCGTGGCCCAACCTGCGTCTTCCTGGTTTTTTTTTTTTTTTTGATGACTAATTCTGATAATGTTCGTCTGCTTTTGTTTCCTCATCTAGTGGAGATTAACATCATTTTACATTTAGTTTGGACTGTTCTGCTCCAGATGAAGGAGCAATCAGATGAATGTGACTGTGTTGTTTTTACTCTTGACCACAGCAGTTTGAATGAACAAGAAAAGCTTGTACAACAGCTTTGTGGTGCCCCAGTGTTTGTCTAGAGTGTGTGTGTGTGTGTGTGTTTGTATAATTCTTTCTTTCAGTTTATCTCTCGGCTCACATTGTCAACTCGTCTCCTTCTTCCAAAAATCTGAGTCTATGTCTGTCTCGAGCGGTCTCTCTCGGTCTGGTCCTCATTTAGGTCAACCACACTGTAGTTCTTTGTACCTACTTTTGAACTTTCTGTCTGTGTGAAGAGGCATGTCGGCTCTCCTGTCTGTGCCACCGCTTTGTCAGTGTGTCCTTGTACTAACTATATCAGATCTGTGGGAGTCCCTGTCCTATATTGGCTTCTTTGTAATCATTGATTAAGCTTGTGAATCAGTAACCACAGAGCAAGGAAGAAAAAAAACAAACTTTAAACCCAGAAATCAAAGTGCAAATGTTTTGCGTCTTCTGTTTGAGTTGTTGATGTGGCTCTCACACCCATTCCTGTTTCTCTCGCGGTTACACGTACGCATTTCACCAGGTGTGATAAATGTTCCAGCCATTAGTCAGTTCCGATTAATGGCTTTTCAACATTTTTGATAGTGAAACCCGTCACTGAGAGTTGACAAGAACCAGTAGTTGTCTTTTTGTGCTTGAGTTGCTAAAATGTTGGGTAAATCCTGGATTTTCTATAAAATATCATTAAAAATCATCTACTATTGTGCCAGAATGGATTCAGTGTGCAGGCAACGTTTTGCAAAACACTAAAGTTCCTTAAACATACAGCAGTGAGTTAATTAAATGCAATATTTCATTAATCAAATCCACATTTATTCCTCACACAGAAACCTGAGCTCAGGTGATGAAGAATTTGTTTTAGTTTTATTCTGTCGCAAAGCATTCTTTAAAACCAAAAGCAAGTCAAACTTGAAACATGGAGATGGAGAAGGACATTACGAAATGAAACCGAATAAAGCAAACTTTAAACAGCGGGAAGATCATAGGACACAAAATGAAATTAGTCATCGAACAATGAGACAGCAAAACAAAAAAATGAGTTGAGATCCAATAGATAAGATGGAAATATGTTTCTAATGCAATCAATGTGAAATGTAAAACAATAGAAGCGTTAACATGTGTTGGCGGGCAGATGTTCGTAGTCTTCACCCTCTTGGACCCCTACTGGGAGTAAACCTTGTTTCTCTCTCTGGTAGTTCAAGCCTGCTTTGAAAAATTAACGACTGGTTTTTAAGGAAAAAAAAAAAGCAAATCCAAGATGATGGTCAAACCACGTCTTTATTGATATATACTTAGGTGTCAGATCTCGTCATTAAGGACTCAGTGGAGTCAAATGCTCTTTTTATGTGGGAAAGGGTTAAAAGAAACTACACACGTGGAAACTTTTCCGTGTTTCCTAATATAAAGGCAGTCTGTCTGAATTGTTTACTGTCAACAAGGAAATATGAAGTAATAAAGTTTTTGCTCTGTCGTGAATAGCAAGTTTGTTCACAAACAAGAGGCAATTTCTGCTTTTAAAAGTCACCTAAAACCAGTTTTTAGTGACTTTCTCGGTGTTGGGATGTCAACGGACAAGCTGGTTAGGTGAATGAGCGAATGCCTGTAATTGTAAATGTTTGCCTATACACAAACCTGTATAGGCTATACCCGACCTTCTGCCTGGAGCATTATAGGATAATGTCGAGCTTTTTATGATCATCCTGAACAGGATTGGTCATAAGAGCTGTCTGGAAGGAAGCACAAACACTTTGGATAACAGAAGAGTGGCAAAAACACAAAATAGTAGCAAAATAGTTGTCACAGGTTCCCAGGCCCTAAGGTCATGTCTCTTTTGTATTTCTTCACTTTGAGGAGCTGGAACAACATATTTGGGTGTGTTGGCACTGACGGGTCTCTGTGAAATTACGGAGAGATTACTATGATGAGTTAAAACGACTGCATGCTTCATCACTTGATTTGGAAATTCCATGCGAAATACCATAAATGTAATTTAGTCTTCAAAATGTACAAATGCCAATGATTTGCTGTGTTTCCCAATCCAAAATCACACTCTCCAAATATGCCTTATCTTCCACTGATTAAATCCACATGTTTCTCTTCCCTCCTCAGCCATGTGCGTGGGGGGTGGATTTGTGGAGCCTGCTAACCCCGTCACCACCCTGCGCTCCGTGACAGAGACTCAAACCAGACTCCCCTGTCAGTATCAGGTGGAGGGTGAGCAGAAGGTGGTGCAGGTCACCTGGTACAAGGAGCTTTCAGATGGCAGCAAAGATATGATCATCACAGCTCACTTCTTGGACGGCCATAGAGGTACTTGACTGAAGAAGCTCCTGTAAAGTCCCTGGGGAAAATAAAAATTTCAGTAATAACGTCTTGGCAAAGCTTTTTTCTTTTCTCTTTCTTGGGGGGGTAATGAGCGAGGTGCAAGTCAAGCATTGTTTTCCCAGCAGATGCTGCAGTTGCAGCAGTCCTTGGACATGATACTTAGTGCAAGCATTTATTATCAAGACCAAAACAACTATTTGGTGCATCCTTTGGTTCCAAATACACTTACACACACTGCCCTCATCAGGTTATTGTTTATGGATTTGAACATCAGTTATCAAATGCTACATCTGCTTTATATAACTGCTTTATCTTAAAAAAAATATAGAGATAATGCAACCTAAGCATTAATGACTTGACAAATGCCAACCATACCTACACTTATTATAATATGCTCTATAATAATAATCAGGAACGCTAAGGTAAGGTGGTTCTTCATTACTGCAGACCAAAGTTCACTCAAAACCATAAGTACATTTAATAAATTGCATGTGACTGTGCATATAAGTTAAATCATATTGAGAAAGAAATACTATAAAAGTGGTCGGCTAATAACAAAATATAGGAAAGACTTTGCTCTTTGTAATTTTGTTTGCTTTGATACTAATAACTTTAAGAATGTCTGTATTTCATTGAATTGTTCCATTTTTCAGGTTATTAGAAACATGTATTGTTGTCTTACTAAAGTGTACCAGTTAAGCTCACTTTCAGATCTGTATTCTTGTTCTTGGAGCTTTACTTGATTCACAGCTAACACCTCTCAGTTTAAAGATACAATCAGAAATAAAATAAAAAAAACATTATTTAATAAAAAAATATACATTTTACTAATAAATACGCATTAGTGTGTAATTATGTCTTCTAATAACTGATGCATTATGATCATCTCAAAATTAATCAATTAGAAATGCATAGAAGCAGGCGATGGTTTGTCATGTTGGCCTGATATTTTGGATACGGTGGCTGAGATTCACACATAAAATACAATGTCAATAGAGACTGGCCACGTGCGCAGTATGCCAAATATGGAAGAGAACAGGGCTCGCAGTTGTTCACATGCTGTGGTGGCAAATTTGAATTTGTATCTAACTCCAATTTCTGTCAGTGTAAAATGTTTAGCTACGCATTCGATCAATGAAATGTCTTAATATAAGACGTGGAAGAGCAATTTCAACATTATGTCTCAGGTTTTCTACATGGCAAAAAATGCTGCTTTAGTAAGTAAAAGAAATCTGTCCCCAATGATCTAAGATGTAAAATTACAGAAATGTATAATTGAATTATTTTGGCATATTGTGACTGGCCATGAGAGAGGTTTTAAGGGTAGGAAAAGCTGTAAAAAGAAAAAAAACAAAGTATGCTGTCTTTCACATTTTCCAAAGCCATCCAGCGTGCCGTATTGGAGTCTTTGCCAGGCTAATTTCGGCCCCCGCCCTTATGTTTGACACACCCCTGGTTTAGACGTAATATCATCCTTTTCCTCAAGCCTCATCTCCTGAACTGAAGTCAGGGCTCTGACACATAAAAACGTGCATAAACATGCTTATCTATTCCCAATATTGTCACAGTTACTTTGTGTCAGCAGATTAGACATCAGCATGAACATCACTGACTCATCGACTCATATCAGACTCCTTTCACAAAGTTTTACAGCTCCCTCCCAAATCAACATGGACACGTATTGACAGCTGAGGTAAACAGCGGACTGTCAACCTGCGCTCACTGCAGATGAACTTCAGTCACAGTTTGTTTGTCCTGCAGCGAGTATTATGCACTTATGCAGTTGATCTGCAATCTATCGACATCTAGCGAGAGATTTTAGATACTGTAACTTTAAGCAGACTTTCTTCTGATTGGCTGCCCCTCATAAAGTTTTGAACAGAAGGTGGGTGGAGCTTCTGTGCTCATAGCCAGAGCTTTGTGCCTGAAATTATGACATTGGGGATATCCACTTTCAGTAACACCGTATGGAGCTAAGAATAGGAAAAAAATGTCTGAAACTGAGCATAAAGAGCAGTCTGAAGCCACGCTTCAAGGAAAAGCATTTTAACATTTACAGTTTTGACTAATCATAATAGCCTCAGTGCAAGATCTGGAGGTTGGAGATTTGCTTTGTGAATTGGTGGAGAAGTCAGAAGGTTGAGGTACATGTGCTGGTTAATGGAAATGTAATTTGATCCAGAGGCCCACGGCTGGTCCAGTGGGCCATGATTGTATGAATGAATGTGAATCATGTGCTACTTCTACCTTTGTTAATCGTTTAAATACCTTTTTCCTCACTGCTGTTGTTAAAGAGTACTCACTACTATGAGTAGACCTGATTTAACGGCTGTTACATTACTCTGCTTATAACACACATCATTTCACTTTCAGATTTATTCATGTAAAGATAAATTAGACACATCATCTTTAATAGCAACTTTATCCATAAATTCAAATTAGAGTCACATGTTAAAAGTACACACATGAGAAAATAAAACAAAATAATTGTTGCTGTGTCTCTAATTGGCATGTGGTTATTTGAAATGAGATCATCCCAGCAGACCATTGTTTTGTACCTGGATTACTCTTTATTATTTGTCTGTTGTGACGCTGCTTGATAACTGGAGGCTTATTTTAACAATGTCTAACCATTTATTCTCCTTTCCTGGAGCTAATGCTTTTGACAAAGGGTCTGTTTGACGTTTTGTGAGTGTTGAAGATGCTCACCTGAGGTTTTTGTTGTTTGACAGATTTTGGGCGTTACTCTGGTCGGGTGAGGTTCGAGAACAGCAACCCCATCAAGAACTCTGCTCTGATCATCCTGAACACAGAGCAGTCGGACGAGGGCACCTACGCCTGCCATATCTCCACCTTCCCCAGTGGAAATTTTGAGACGAAGATCGCCCTCACCGTCTGGAGTAAGACTCATCATCCTTTCTCTCTCTCTCTTTTTTTTTTTTTAAATCTTCTCGCCCACATGTCCCTAATCCTGAGAGAGCTTCTGTAATGATGTTTACACCATCATATCTTCATAGAGGAACTGGTGACTGGGGGAATTCAGGTGTGCCAGCATGGCCACAAGCACTGCCAGCTTACTTTAGGTTTTAGCATGTGAAAAGCCAAAAGGGAAATGCTTTTAATTCTATATTATTCTGTTACTCCAACTAAAAATTAAGAAAAAGTTTAAAATATTCTCAAGTATAAAAAAGCACCACAGAATCTGCGTACACCAAAAATATGTTATGCAGACTCTGATTCTGGTAGGTAGATAGCAGCTCAGCTGTCAAAACATTTGCAAGTTTATTTGGTGTTCCAGAAAGATGGAGAGGGTTTTCCAAGATCCAAGATAAATAGGTTTCCACCACGAGGAGTGATTGAGTTTAAGATAAGTTTGGCATTGATGTAAGTTTCGTATATATCCTTAAATCACAAGTTTACATAAAGAGCTTTACACCCCCATAATCTTTATAATCTTAATTCTTCCTCTAAAGAAGGGAGGATGATAGAGAAACGACTGGAAAAAGCATGTTGTGTATATACAAAGAAAAGCGAAATAAAAAAGTATAATCACTATTAAAAAGTATGATATAATTGTGGAAACAGGGTTGTGCTTTAAAGAGCTGCCAACTTCAATTTCCCAGGTCTGTGGCAGAAGAAAAGCTTCCTCTTTAGCCTAAAATCACCTGTTTCCACTCCTTATTTTGTCTTTTGAACAATCTTAGCAGAAGTTTTGCACCCAGCTAAAGCCTGGCACAAGTAATTTCCCTCTGAGAAAGGAGCTTAAAATTCTGTCCCCTTTAAAATGTTTCAAAAACTCATTTTGATGTATACAGTTTCTGCAGTGCCGCTGTTGTCCCCAGGCTTCCTCCTTTACAACCATAATAACAGCCGTGGGAACACCTTTGTGAATCCTCTGTGAAGTAAACCCTGGAATGATGCTATCATTTTTAAACAACTTTCCCATTTCACTGCCAGTCATCTGCAGTAACAGACCTGTCTCAACACGCCCCAGATCTGACAAATCAACAGAAAGTTGAGTAGTAAGAGACAACCTGTAGCACTGAATTCCCTCCATGTTGGAACATTCAGCTGTAAAATGTTGATTTGTAAGTGCAGAAACTGATGCAGGCGGCTACCTGCCCACGTGTTACTGTCAAAAACTGTAAACTGAACAAACTGGGCATGTTTTTCTTAATGTGAAAGAATAGGTTTTAGAGAAATGACCCTACTGTGAATGCACTATGCCGAAAAGTCACATTTGGACTTGGAATTTTTGTTAAAAACTGGGTGTTTGGTTTACGGATACATTTATTTTAATTGGATGAAAAATGACCAGGATGGAGGTATCAGCATGTTTCACAACACAGCTTCTCTCATGAAGGCACTTTTCAGATAAGTTTGTCAGGTAAATAATGTGAGAGCTGAAATATTTGGAGGGGAGAACATCTCCCCTGCTCACTTTTTCTTGAATTGTGTCTTTTCTTGGCTGTGAGTCAGAGTCATTTATTACTGTGGAAGCTGGAATCATTCCTTTATTACTGTAAGCCAATGAGTGCAGTATATTTCCCTCGCTGATATGCCGCGCTGTGCTTTAGTGTTTTGTTTTTTTACTAGTTTCTGTTTTTAAAGGTTTGAGCTTTCCTCAGGTGGTGCCCTTTTCTTTGTCAGTTAATCCGTAATAGTTGTTGTTGTTAATGGTACCGACTTGTTTTGTCTGATGTATTAATAATCCAAACATTAGTGGAAAGAGTTAACCAGCCAGTGACTGTTTACAACAGTCATGACTGCAGTGTGAATCACAATCGTGTTAAACCAGTTGGTGACAGGGCAGCAAAAACAAAATGTAGCTGTGTGAAAACATCTAAGGTGACCTGTTCTGAGAGAGTTTTGCAACTTGGTGTTCTTACACAATTCCAATGAATTTGATGGTACTTTTAGTTGGAAACCCACAACTGTAATATGTGGAAAATTCTCCAAAGTAGAAGTGGGCACATTAAAGCACAAAAAGATCACTCTGTTTATACACTGTATATAAAAGATGGAAGTAGATTTGCATTAGCTGGATAGCTTTTCCCATTTTGATTTTTTTTTTAACCTTTCTTTTTGGTGTTGCGACCTGCTAACACTTGGTGCAAGTTGCATTAATGCACATGGTACAGAAATGGATACCTGCTAATTTATAATAGAAAAATACTATAACTTAATTGCTTCATGTATTACATCAAAAATAGTCAAATTCCACAAATACCATGGAGAGGTCCAGTTCAATGACTCATTATCAGGTGAGGCTGAGCAGACAGCTAGAGCTACACGTGTGTCTGCCCGCACCTGTCAGTCACATAAGCCACACCCACTAACAATGCCCAGTTCCAGCAAGGTGGAATGAATGGGCGACGATGACTGTAAAGTTCAAAACCTTTTCTTTCTTTCTTTCTTCTTTGTTTTAAACTAGGTTTTAAACCACTGGGATATGTGGTTTCATGTCCAAGTGGTTATTTGAAGATAGGAATCTAGAGGGATCAATGAAGGTCACCCTGCTGGTGGCACTAAATAGAAAGTCAGCGGATCTGTAGCTGGTTCAGCAACCCGGAAGATTTTACTGCACTCTGTCTGTTTTTTGTTTGTTTATTGCTTTGCATTTAAATTTTGTAGATCAAATAACATTTTTACAAAAGGTATGCGGAAAAATGCAAATGTGAATCTGTTGTTGGTACTGCAGGAACATTTTTGAATCATTAGGCAGTTCTGACTTGAAAGTCTGTACAAACTTTCATGCTAATCCCTCAAACAGATTTCATTTGCCAGTCAGGACAAGTGTTGGATCATCTACCCCCTTAGCTCTAAGAGCCAAGAAGTGAAAAATAAACTAACTTGGGAAAGAGACTTTGTAATCTGATGACTGAACTCATTGTGCTTTTTTTAAATTTAGTACTTCAGCAAAGGATCAGATGGAAAGTCCAAACCAGAAGACTTAAATTAACCTCTTTCCTTTTCGTTGTCTAGTTTTACCCATCTCCTCCCTGGATCCAGTAACTCTTGTGGAGGGCCAATCCTTCCGTGTGGCAGCCATCTGCCGGGCTATAGGTCACCCACTTCCCATTCTCTCGTGGGACACGGACATCTCAGGAACGGTCCAGAACCGCACCAGCGAGACTCGGTCAGTGTCCAGCTACTTCTCGCTCCACCCCCTGCGTAGCATGAACGGGAAAAAGCTGGACTGTTTAGTGTGGCATCCTGGCCTGGAGGAGCCGCGTAGGATCAGCAACCGCCTGGAGGTTCAATGTGAGTATAGCTGTGGAGCAGAAGTAAAACAGACTGGAGCTGTGGCATTAACATCATATTTTTAAGTGCTGAGTTGCAGAAATAATATTGCTGGTTCAAGGAAGAACAATAGAAGGAACCAGAAAAGTCACAGAGTATGATATGGAAAAATAAGGGAGAGAATGGTACCCCTCACTGGCCCCTTCCCATTCTTTACAGGTCGGGGATCACACATCGCTCATTCTTGCCTGTCAGAAAAACATTTCCTGAAATTATTCAAGCAAATATAAAATGTGGAGAAGTTAGAATGTTATCTGTTTTTACCAAGTTATTTGGTAGAAAATTCTGGCTCCATACAAGATACAGCTCTATAATTTAGCCTTAACATACAGCACAACAAGCTCGAGCACTGATCAGACGTCTTAAATCGCACCAGTAGGATCAGTCGTGGTGGATCGTTGCCAGTGAAGCTGTCACCACCGAGTCGCTCACTGATACTGCGACAGTGACAAAAGCGCTATGGCGGTCACCTTTTTTTCCTTCCCCTTGTCTGAAACAAATGTCTCACTTCAAACTTCATTCATGGGAAAGTGCAGGAATGTGAGGTTTGGTTTTGTATACACTGTCCATCCGTCAGACACATGACTTGCAGAAACCAGAGAGCGAAGGGTGTGGATATTGAAAGCAGTTTTAGTCAATTAACCATGAAAGTTTTAAAACAACATGAAATAATTTATCTTGACATTCGTCAGTAACTAATTTGAACATGTACTACACAAAGGTCATGTGTAGTGGTGGCTGATGCCTAATAAATGCCTGGACCTCCTACTGTTTACTAATTTAATTAGTAGATCATCACGCCCCAATACTGCTTTCTCAGTGCCATCCATATTTTGTTTTGGTGTGTTTTGCAGCTGTAAATGGATACTCTGTAAGCTTGCATTGTATGAAGCAGTGTACGTCACTGCAAAGGGTTTTAAATTACCACACTTGTGCTGTTTAGTGCAAACTATATGGTCCTAAAGAATATGTAAAGAACTGGGACACGCCTGGCTTTTTAGTTAATAACAGGAACAAATAAAGGAAAAAAATGACATAAGTGTTTTTACTCTCAGATTTCTTAAACACTGTTTTTATAGTCCCACCTTTCTCCTTTCACTTGAAGCTTTGCGCTGATCCTTGACGTATCGCGATTTAATCCTTCTTCCCTCTGCTGTTAAATATTTATAGGTTACTACTTAAACCAGCATACGCTGATGTTTTAAAAGCGGAAATTTGAATGCATAACAGCAGTTATGCCAGTTATAGAAGGTAACATGACAAAAACAAACATTACAATCGTGTTTTTTGCAGATTTCTTATAGTATTGTAGAAACTATGAATACTCCCAAATGACAAAAAAGTATTAGATTAAAAAAAACAAACATTTTTTCTACATCTCATCCAAAATAATAATATTCACTTCAAATGGACACTTGTTAAATATTCAGCCCATACCAAGAATGGTACGGTGACCTAATAAGTTGGTCCCTCCCTTTTTATGTAGGTGTGTTTGTGACAATACGAAACCACTAAGTTAATATTTATGTTTGAACAACTCCGAAGACTAACACCTGCAAAACACAGCTATAACTAACAGTACTAACCACGCCCATGTTTTTCCTCTAATGGTGTCAAAATGTCGGCATTGAAATCAATAAACACATTACATTTTTAAAGGTTTTTATATTTTATACTCGAGAAGTTAAAGTTCTATAACCATTTTTTATCCTGCCAAATTCTCCCATAAAATTAATACTTGAGTACAGTATGTGTACTACCTGTATATATTAATAACATTACATAAATGAAGATATTATGGTGATGTAGTATAAAAGGAGCATTATGTGGATGGTCTGCCAAACATCAGTCTATCACTGATAACTCAACTTCATGCATCTGAGCAAAAGTTACTTTCAAAATATTACATTTATTCTCTATAACCTGGCGGATTCCTGCACTTTCTTCAGCATGTTTTCATTCTTTGTATCTTTGAGTACCACCTTAATGACTCTTTTTTTTTTTTTGTGAGTGTGTTGTGGTGGGAAAGACAGAGCTGTATTCAGCATGCAAACTAAATCAGCTCATACTTATCAGTATACTGTATGGAATGACACTGCAGTTGCTCTTTGCTGGGCTATGGGCCAAACTTTAAGCTCTCCCCTTTAATGGGAATGTAAGCCAATTAGATATTTTTGACTCTAGTTGCCCAGCAAATTATATTTATAAGGCTTAACTGTCAGTCTTTGAGATTAAAGAGCTGGGTAAATATTAGCTACTATCGGCAGATTTGATCCTGCGGCGGGAAAGTTTATCAGTAATAGTCTGTCCTTGACTACTGTTACTGTGTAACTGTGTCAAAACTTTAACTGTTCCAACAATTCCTCTTTGTCTGATTTGAAGGACATTTGTTAAAGGTGTGGGTGTGAGCTGTGCCAGCTTGCTTTTAAAATGGGATTAAATACAAGGTTTCAAGCTAAAGTTTTCTGCTAATATTATGTACTCGCTGTTAAAATCACTGAACTGGTGCTCAATACGCTTAGTAATGACTCCAAACCTCCCAGATAACATTTGAAATTTTGAGACTTGCGAAAATCTTTTTGTAGATTTAAGAGGAGGAAATAACTTCATCTGTTGTGTTTATGGTGCAAACAAACTTCTTTGTGTCTTCTCTGCTGCTCTACAAAGTTCTCTATTTGATCTATTATGCAGCATAGGGGACACTAGTTTGTGATGCTGCTTACTTAATATTTGTGTTTCTGTGTCAGACCCCCCAGATGCTACGATCACGACGTCCTCATCTCGTTGGTATGTGGGTTTGGAGAAAGCTGAGCTGGTGTGCGAAGGCAGGGGACACCCCACACCTCAAAACTTCACCTGGACGTGGTACTTTCTGCATTTTCACATACACATCTGTCACTCTGGCAGTCAACAACACTATGATGATATCATGTTAAATCCCACCTCCCCCCTTTCTAATACTATTTATGCTGCTAATGTTCTTTTTACATGGCGCTGGAATGTAAGTCAAAACATAGATAAGCCACTGCTAACACGCATACACATGGAGCACACACCTGCAAACAACAAAGGAGTGCGCTCCCATCTAAAGGGGGGGGGGGGTTCCTATCCTCTGCTGGCTCAAATCACTGCTGAATAAAAGGTGCGGTGTCGCGTTGCGAAATTTCAAGTTAGAAGATTGTGTTTCACACGAGGGAGGGAGTGAGCGACACAAGGAAGAGCAGGAGACACATGCTAAGCGTTTAATCATAGTGCCATGCTTTAAATATCACTCTAATGCCTGGTAAAACACTGGGTCTGTACTTTAATTAAAGACGCCAGCCATTACAGTTCTCCCTGTGCACACAGTGATCAAATGTTTTGTGCTGAGTACTTGGGTCATGAGGCAATCTTGAAATGTTAAAGTTGTGCTAGTTTCAACCTCTTCACTAAGCCATCCATCACTGAGGCCCCACTGTGAGGAAATCCACTGATTAATTTTAGTTATAATGTCAGTAAACGTTTTGAAATGTTGACTTTTTTTCCCCTTGTTTGCTTTTTAACAATGTAAATATATAAAAATACAACCATTAGTCAATATGAGTGGCTGACTGCTGGTCTCTCCATGTGAGCATTCACAGAACAAATCTGTAGTTTAATCTGCGTTGAAAACACTGCGCAAAAGAAGCAATTTCTCATTTAGTGGGGTTATGTAAAAGATTGTTGACTAAGGAAATGATCCTACACGTAAGCCATGTGTGGAATAAATAAACTATCATTTCAGCTTTAAATATAAGAAGTCATGCTAGCTGTTTCTGTGTGTTGAGCCTTAATGCTAAATTCTTGGTTCCACTTTTATATGAATTGGCAGATAACATTAATTTTATCAGCCAATTCATATACATTTCCCACAATGTCTCATTGACTTTGAGTGTGGAATAGCTGAGGGTGCAAGCCAGACTATTTGAGAAATAGTGGATCTATTTTTCTCAAGAGGCCATCTGTAGAGCTTACAGAGATGGTCATGCGGGTGTCAATTCTCTGGGTGAAAATCCCCTGTTGATGTCAGAGGTCAGATGAGAATGGCTAGACTGCTTTGAGCTGATAGGAAGGGAACAGTAACTCAAATAAGCACTTGTTACAAGCAGCATATGCAGAAGAGCATCTTTTAATGCACAATACTATTGGACTAGAGCAGCAGAAGACCAGCCTGGGTGCCACTCCTGTACGAATATCCACTCGATCCATCTCTATCCACAAGACAATATTTTAGATGTAGTGGATGTAGGAGAGTCACAGCATGTACAGTACTGTTAAGTTTTAGGCAGAAAAAATGCTGTAAGCAGGCAGCACGGTGGCATGGTGGTTAGCACTGTTGCCGCACAGCAAGAAGTTCCTGAGTTCAATTCCACCATCAGGCCAGCAGGGCCTTTCTGTGTGGAGTTTGCATGTCCTCCCCGGCTTCCTCCCACAGTCCAAAAACATGCACTTTGTGTGGATAGGTTAATTGAAAAATCCAAATTGCCCATAGGTGGGAATGTGGGTGTGAGTGTGAGTGGTTGTCTGTCCCTGTGTGTTATCCCTGCGACAGACTGGCGTCCTGTCCAGGGTGTACCCTGCCTCTCGCCCCTTGACAGCTGGGATAGGCTCCAGCGACCCTGAAAAAGGATAAGCAGAAGCGAATGGATGGATGGAAATGCTGTAAACAAAGAATACTTTCAAAGACGGAAGTGTTAATCATTTATTTTCATCAATCAACAAAATGCAGTGAATGAACAAAAATAAAATCTAAATAAAATCAATATTAGGTGTGACCACCCTTTGCCTTCAAAACAGCATCAATTCTTCCAGGTCAGGGGTGGGCAACTCCAGGCCTTGGGTGTTGGTGTCCTGCAGGTTTTAGATGTGTTCTTGATCCAACACAGCGGATTCAAAATGGCTAAATTACCTCCTCAACATGTCTTGAAGTTCTCCAGAGGCCTGGTAATGAACTGATCATTTGATTCAGGTGTGTTGACCCAGGGTGAGATCTAAAACCTGCAGGACACCGGCACTTGAGGCCTGGAGTTGCCCACCCTTGTTCTAGGTATACTTGCACACAGTTTTTGAAGGAGTACTTCTTGTTCATTAAGATAGCTCTTAATGACTTTGGCTTTATGTTTGGGGTCGTTGTCCTGCTGCAGAATACAATTGGGGCCAATAAACAATTATGTTTCTGAAAGCATTCTTTGTTTACAGCATTTTTTTCACACCTACCTACAACTTAGGCATAATACTGTATGTGCAGCCCAAAAATCTGCAGCAGCTGTGTGATGCTGTCATGGGAATATGGACCCAAATCTCTGAACAGTGTTTCCAGAATCTTGTTCAGTCTCTTATGAGGAGAAAGGGGCCATCCAACCAGTACTAACAAGGTATACCTAATAAAGTGGCAGATGAGTGCATATTTTATTAATCAGAGCAACGCTAAAAATGTAGAATGTGTATGTACAACAAGTGTATCAAATTCACAAATACCTTTCTTGATCTTCTTATAGCTGCTTTACGTTGCTCCAAAGACAAAGTCATTGTTAAGTGTAACAGATAATACCATAAAACATGTAATTTGCTTTATCTAGTAAACTTTTACTTTTACCTTTGGCACTATCGAGGCCAGCTACTTTAGTTTCACAATATGTTTTTATGTATAACTCATGTAGTGAAACTATATTGTACTACTCTAGTTTCAGTCATTTCACAATAGGTCTTTGCTTCATTGCACTGATACTGTGGTAAGTCACAAAAACAATAAGTCACGGGAGAGATTAGAATCTTTTTGGCCAGTGAAGCTGTATTGCACACCTTATCTGTATCATTTCCACCATCCTCGCTGTGTCAGATGCAATCTCCACCTGTGACTCGATTTAGAAAAGGCTGGTCAGAGAAGCTAGGCGGGGTGTTGAGAAAAGAAATCTGACCCGGGGCGACTTTGACGGGGGGGTAAAGCAGTAGGTAAATAGCTGGTGGAGCACAGCGAAACCAGGGGGGAATATGACCCCTCTCAGTGGACCTGATCAGAAACTGCCTCTATTATGTGGCCTGTACAATTTAGGGCTCAGAAGTTGGGCTTGTTTCAATCCCCCAAACCTAGTATTTACCTGGTTTATACAGATGAGCCCTGCATGCTTTGGTTCAGGTGGTTTCACTCTGTGATGAACCTGATCCTTCAGAGTGTTTACTAAGCGGATAACTTCCTTGATTCAAACCAGTTTTTGCATTTTCCTGTTACTTGCAAGCAAATGTCATTAGATATTTGTATATTTCCAGCTCTCTGGTTTGAACTCTGCTCCTTTCATTTTGTTGTTTGCAGCTATGAGTCAAAGCTGTTGTTTCAAACAGTGAGTCACAGGCTTCTGCGTAGTTCACCTCTTTGTGACATCTGCAAGTTAATGGTAACATTTTTCTTTTGATTGCTTGCAGGAAAGGGGGAGCTCTGCCTGACGGGGTGTCTGTGGTTGGAGGGAAGCTCCTCTTTCAGCGGCCCGTTCACTTGAGTGACAGTGGGGCCTACGAGTGCATGGTCACAAACAGTGTGGGAAGGGGAAAAACTGAGTATATACTCAATATAGATGGTAAGTGCAATAAAGCTAATTTTGCATACATTTTCATGGGATTTAATGGAGAAACTGTTCCGCTGCTGTGAGCTTTGTTGATGTTTTTGCAGGTGGAAATTTAGACTTGTTTTCCAAACTCCTTCTGAGTTGGTGTAATTTTGAACATTTGCTGCCCCCTCTTGTTAGATACAAGGCATTAACAGTTGAACTCAGTCTGGATTACAAAAAAAATATTAAAGGAAAGATGTAGCTGTGTTGTTGTTGAATGTATTTATATGCGAGAGAGTCATCGGATCTTTTCATATTTTTATATTTTTTTAGAGATGCAATGGCGCATTGGCGAAACCCCTCCTGATAACCTGATGCTGATCATAATTTGTGCCTCCACCGGAGGTTTAATCCTCCTCCTGATCATCATCATCTTGGTGGTTCACTGCCATCATCGACGTAGAACGAACAAGCTTAAGAGAGAGCTATCTGAAAAATCGTGAGCTAAAGCACATATTGTTAAAGAAGGCTTTTATTAATAACTTCAACTGGGATTTAAACTGATCTATTTTGTGAACATGCAGGTTTTCCATAAATCCTCAAAATGTGTGTGTGGTTTTTATTTTTTTCTCCCAGGGATGAAATTAGGAGTTTCTCTAGGCAAGCCTCTTTCAGGAGAATAAACTCTACCAGCACAGACTTCAGATACCAGGTAGGAATACGCACACAGACAGACACACACACACACTCTCCTGCTGACAACAATAACCTGCAAGCTTGAAGGAAGCCAGGTTGACACACCTGTCCTGCTCGGGTGGAGCCGCTGGCAGCTCAGGCGGATGATTACAGGCTGCTGCAGCTTCAAACAACACTGAAACGTGCAGCGTTCATAGACACATATCATTAATATGTCATTTTTGGCGGTTTGTTATATTCCTCTTCGTGTTCAGGTTCACTAATTTTTTGCGACTTTCTATTTTTCTCCAGGGTGAAGACTCCATGCTCAGAATAGACAGCCGAATGAAAAACAGCCAAATGTCTCTGGTGAGTGTCTCACTGTGATGAAATATATCCAGGTAGAATACTGCTGATCTTGGTTCTGCCTGCGCTGTCTCTAAGGAATTGTTCATATAGCTGCTTCTTTCTAATGTTGAAGGTTTTTTCAAAATAAAATGCTTTAAGATCTTGTCTCAGATTTGCACTTTATCATTACATTGAATGTCCTCTCCCTGCCTACAGGAGCATACCCATTCCACTCTGGGTGGGAGGTGGGGGCCAGGAGATGTAGAACTGGATGAACTGGGACGTCCGGTCATCTGGTGTGAAGGCAGCGATATTCCAGGAGGAGCTGAGGTTGACGGAGGGAAGGAGGCGCAAAGGAACAGGGTGGAGTCATACCTGAAGAGCAGTAGCAACATGTCGCTGGTATGTGTCAGCATCTGAGAGATTAAGTTTGAAATGTGTTTAGATTTGTTTGTAATGTATCATATGGTAACGGCATGCTGTATTTATTTCTGAGTTTGCATCGTCACTGAGGGTGACGTGGTAAAACAAAAGGGATTCAAATGACAGGAAACATTTTAGGAAACAACAGCAAGAAACGTCGTCTCTGTTTTATTAGTCACTTTATAATTGTTCCTGTCTTCTACAAATGATGACGCTTTATTGGATTTATTTAGAAACAGGATCAGGAATGTAAACATGACTGTTTTGTTAAATCTGGATTACAATCTGATGTCGTCACGACCAAAGCTTCACTTAGAGGTTTCATACAAAAGAGATTGAATACCAGTGTGCATTCTCTCCTAGCAATTATTACCACAAAAAACATCATAAGAAATATTGGATGGTAGGATGTGGTCCATGTTGTGTTAGGAGCTTTTTTTTTTTTTTTTTTTTTTTTTAAACCTAGACTTCTACCTCAATAAACTGGTTTTCACTGATCCCATAGACAGTTTTGGTAGAAATATAAAGTTTATCTACAGATGATCCAGCTTGAATTTGGATTTTTAGTGCAAGTATCATAAACCCAGTTTTATCCCCTCTGTGCCTTTTTCAGTCCAACTTCAATTTTTTGGTTATATAAAGGGGACCTATGATGCTCATTTCCAACTAAATATGTATTCTTGGACTCCAGTAAAATAGTTTTGCCTGACTCACAGTTTATCCTCTTTATGGGGCAATCCATTTTAGCCATTTTCTTTCTTAAGGCCACCATCTCCTAGCCAACTTTCATCTGATTGGCTGATCATACAGAGCCAAAACTAGAATAAACAGTGTGAAACTAAGTGGTAGAGCAGATTGAACCCTGAGGTTTTGGCTTGCAGGAATTACCTGTTCATCTGCTGAACTCAGTGTTTAAAACTTCAGTTTCAACATTAACTGTTGTAACTGTGTATTTGAGAGAAAATAAGGAAAGGCATAATAGGTCCTCCTTAATATTGGTAACTTTCAGGACAAATCAGGAAAAACAGTATTCTATTTTTATACTGTTTCTACCAGGACTCAGGTCTTCCTTCATCTTTGGTTCCTCTGAAGGCTCAGCAGGATGACGGCAGCGGGCCCAGAGAACCAGACGCCTGCCAGCCCAGGGAGAGAGAGGGCTGGGCTCCCACACAGTCTGAAGGACACGACAGTGACGAAGATGGGAGCCACTACCAGTTATCACAGACTCTCAGGAATTACTTTGACTACAGCAATGGGGCCATCAGGCCCAAGCCAAGTAACAATTCCATTATTCTACACCCCAGAGGACAGCTGATCTAGACAGGACTCTCATCTGTGATATGAAAAGAGAGACTGTCTGTATCTCTGCAGTGACTCTGACTGTGACGTTTGATGTTTGCTTTGAATATATTGGAAGGGTAATTCGTCTCAGGTACTATCCCAATGCTGATTGTTGATTTTTTACTTTAGAGATTCTTCCTTATTTCTGTTAATCAAAAGAAGGTTATGAGTTGTTCTTTTGAGCATTTTATAACTTCATCAGTGAGGTAATAAAAAAGAGATGAGGAATAATTTGGGGGGGGAGAGAAAAAAAAAGCCCTGAGCCAGATACGACTGGTATAGTAGAACTGGAACATTTTGGACCACTAATGTAGAATTAAGTTTATAGAGAGTTTTGCCCTGAAAGGTATGCAAATGAAAAGTATTTTTGTTCTTTAAGGTATTGTATTAAGAATCCTGTTACAAATGTTTACTATGTTTGGTGCAAAGCTGAGTTTTGCATCCAGTGCTTCTTGTTTAAATACATGTGAATAGATACAAAGGACTTGAGAATCCTGCCTCATGCAGGACAATATGTATATATTGCATATGTTTATATACACTGATCATCCACGACATTAAAACTGTTAAAAGGTGAAGTGAATAATATTGACTCACTTGTTACATCGCTTCGCCCTGTAGAGAAACCTTAGATCTGGCGACTCCACATCACAAAAATTATTTGAGGAACTTGGCAAAGAGTCCAAGGTGCTGATGCAAACTATCAGCTCCTCAGATCCAAATTGAATTCAGGTTTTTGATACTCGCCCAAAGGATCAAGTAAAGACACCCTCAGCGATCCAGTGCTCTTGCTCTTGCTGGGTCAGTTATTTCTACATTGTTTCCACATCAACTCTTGCACATTAGGTGTTCTTATGTTAATGTCTGATATATGTGTGTGTACATTTGTTTATTAATACATCTTTACAGCCACCTGCTGCTGTCAGCTTAAAAAAAAAAACCCTCATTAATATGAAGAGCAAAAGAGACGATGCTGAAAGTTCTTTGACCAGCTGGTGTTGAAATGCAGCAAACTGGGTCAGTTTCATCTATATAACTATAACTTTTTAGTGCTGTAAATACCTTTTTGTAAAAAAAAGAAACATTGTTATGATACAAATACAGTGTAAATTTTTCTATGCATTTTTTTTTTTTAAGAAGATCAGGAAGTGATGTGGATATGTTGAAAATCTTTATTTGTAAAAGTTCAGCTTACAAACATTCTTTTAAAAAACACTGGAACATTAAAGCTACTTCGGGAACTTCATGAAACAGTAGAAACTTTATGGGTTATTCTGTTATAGGTTGATGAATTTAAATAATTTTTTTTATTGAAGAAAAAGTTAGGATTTTTGAGAAATATTGTTTTTCTTGTTATTTATAGATTCAAACACTGATACTACCTTCATATTTTACTAATAAAGGCATGGAAGACAATTAACTTTGATGCAAATTAAAACATGGTTGTAGTTTTAGCAAGTGTTTACAGGACAGATCTTTGCTTGGCCAGATGCCCTAACTTTGTTATGAGGTTATTAGGGACTAGCAGGTCACTGCATTCGACTAAGAAATAACCCATGGCATTACTACTGTAAAAAAGATCCTAGAACTAGTACAGGCCACTGTATTTGGCGTTAATTTTGTACTGGAAATAACACTGTACCTGTAGTGGGAGTCTTAAATGCACTAAGAAGATTGAATAAACATGAAAGTACTGAGACTGTGCTTATTATGGTGACAAATGATACTAAGAACTGCGGATACTGATTAATATTTTGTTCATGTGCTGCTTGATTTAAGTGCAGTTAACACAGTAGACCATAAAACTTTGAGAGGCTCCAGGTCTGGGTTGGTAAAGGTCAGATGGTTTAGGTCATATTTGACAATCCAAAATTTTTTGTTTTCATTGGTGACAAACTGCTCTCCTTACTCTATAATAAGTTGTGGAGTTCCTCAGAGATCCATACTGGGACCTATCTATTTTCCCCCATCATATATGCTACCAATGGAACCTTAGGAATATCCCAAGAATAAACTGAATGCTGAGTTTTACTGACTCTCAGACTATTATTCATGCTTTTATTTCCTCTCAGTTGGGTTTTTGTACTGGTTTTTCAAAGGTACCAATCAGAGATAACAATAAATAGACTTCAGATTGTGCAAAATGCAGCTGTAAGACTGCATTTTGCACATGTGAACATATTATCCCAGTTTACCCCTCTACAATTCAATTCAACAGTCGCCACAAGCTGCTTTATATTGTAAGGTACAGACCCTACAGTATTACAGAGAAAACCCAAAGAATCAGATGCTGGATGTCCAATACTTTTACAATTGATTTTAAGATTTAACTTATTACTTGTAAAGGCATTTAGGCTTGGACCGAGATTATATACGTAAGAGGTGGGGAACTCAGGCCTCAAGGGCCGGCGTTCTGTAGGTTTTAGATGTGTCCTTGTTCCAACACAGCTGATTTAAATGACTAAATTACCGCCTCAACATGTCTTTAAGTTTTCCAGAGGCCTGGTAATGTAGTAATCATTTTATTCAGGTGTGTTGACCCAGGGTGATATCTAAAACCTGCAGAACACCGGCCCTTCAGGCCTGGAGATCCCCAGACCTGATATATGTGAACAGCTGTTTGCTGTACCGACCAGTGTGCAGCCTGAGATGCTCAGGCAGAAACCTGTTAACTGTTCCCACCTCATGCTTAAACCAAAAAGGCGATCAAGTGTCTGCTTTTAGGGCTCCATGGCTGACTCGTTTATATTGTAAGATTATTTTTTTAATACTGGTATTGATAAGTGCTACACAACCAAACATTATCATTTCACTAGGCTGCAGCTGCTCTCCAAGGTTGGAGCTGACATGGACAACTGTTGCAAACCTTTGGCTGTCACCCTACAACTATAGCCCAGTTAGAATCTGCCCCCTACTGCTTGATGATTGTGAGTGTACATGTAGTCACTCTTGAGGTTGTTGAAGGGTCTTAATTAAAGTATTGGGTACAAATACAGTTGAAAACTCTGTGATGCCCTTATCTCTGTGATGAAACTTACACTCAGCGTCTTTGATGTTTTACACAGATTGGAATTAAGATGGTGCCAATCACTTCAAAATTCTCATTCTCCTTCCATTTTTATTTAAAAAAAATCAATAACAAAGATGTTACAGCCCTGGGCCTTGGAGGGAGTGAGACTGCCCTTTTGTGTTCATGCAAATCTAAGTGTGCCAGGACTCGTGGATGATTGGCTGCTGGGAGTCCTGTGCCAGCCCTCTTTTATCCAGATCACAGTGTGCTAAAGGCAAAGCCTTTGCCTTTAGACAATAATTCTGATGGCAAAAGAGCCAAACGGGACAGGCAAAAAAAAAAAAGAAAAAAGTGTGCCAGACCTCGCGGACGATTGGCTGCCTGGAGATCCCATGACCACTCCATGACCAATTGACTGGCTGATTGTCTGCACCTGGGAGTATAAAAGGCTGAAGATCCTTCACACTATGGGGAACTGCTGCTCTGAAGTGAACATGCAGTGCCTCCTCGTCTGCTTTGCATGTGAAGCTTGTTTGTTAAACCTGTTTGCTGTGTTGCTCTTTGTTTAAACCTGGTATACAGCTAGACTTAGTTTCATTAGAGTTTTGTGATGCTGGCTTGCCTTGGTTAACCCTTAGCTTTTATTTTGTGTGCTACCAGCTTGCCTTAGTTAACCCTTAGCTTTTACTCTTGCCTGTTCTTTTCATTGTGTATTAATTGTTTCCCCGGTGGTCTGTTGAACAGCCCTGTCGGTTTTCAGTTTAATGTTTGTAATAAAACCCCTTATTTACTCAGATTTCGTGAGAGGGCTTGTGTATGTTTCTCCCCTCCTGTCGCCTAGCAGAGGGGGTCGTGACATAAGGCTTTTAAAAAAAGAATACAGAAATCATATCTGTAAGCATGTGGAGTTTGTTCCTAAGGATATATAAAATTTGTGGTATATGTTAAATTCTCTTACATTTGTTTTGAGCCCAAGAGGACACACAAACCCAGCCTCTGAGAATTACAAGCTTGCGTACTCTTTGTGCCAGGGAGTCTTTTGTTGGGATGGCAGTTGTAAACTTGGTGCCAGTTCAAACATGCACTGTGATGACCCCTTGGGAAATAAGTGAGCAGCTGAAAGTACCTGTCCCTCCACATACCAGACAAAAATGATGTTTTACTGTAAGGAATGGAGTTGATAAAACTGAATTAAGGCTGATGTTACATTAAATGGCGTTATTTAATGCTAGGTTTAGAACAACACTGAATGTTTCTGACCCTCCAAGTGAACAAGCAAAGTGTGTACGGGGAAGGGCTTAAGCCTAGGGCTACAAAGTCTATATCTCCTACCACGATTGGCTCTGGATCCTGTGGAAAAACTTTGGAGGAAGTACCCGAATGTTTTGGAAGTTAAAGATTCTTCAGAATGGGGAAATTTTAACTCGACTGACCCATGAACATCTAAGCTGCAGTGCAAGGCTGAACAACATGTTTTTTTCCTCTACAAACAGAACATTGAAATCTTAGTTTATCTTAATTTTCTGCTTAGGCAGCATCACAAACACAATTTAGGCTGTCGTGTGGTGACCAACAAATTCTTTGTCCTTTTTTTTACATCCTTAGTGCTCTGTGGTGAACTAATTTATCAAATGTCTTGTGACTTTTCCTCACCATCTTTCCATCAGGGCGAGGAAAACTAAGCGATTAGATGCTGGATTTTTCCTGTCTAGCTTAAACTGAATGTCTTAGAGGTCATATGTTCCTAGTATGTCATATGTGTGTTAAAAACCTCTTTTCTGGCAGTTCATATGTTCCTGTTTTAGTTCTTAAAAGCCACACTGTGTCAAAATTTTTGTTTATTTCACAAAAAGAGGGCACAGTTAAATCAGTCTGCTACATTATTTTTCCAGAAATATCAAAAAACAAACAGAATTTGTTAATAAATCTAGATCTAAAAGCCACTTAGATATTTCTAGCTTTTCTTCAAAATCTACTGAATTAAACTGCGTTCTGTGCGAGAGCCTCTTTGTGAGTCCTCTGATGAGTGCGAAGGTTACTCCTCTGAGAAAAGCACTTGCCACACGTGTCGCATGTGTACGGTTTCTCTCCTGTGTGAATTCGCTGGTGTATCTCGAGGTGGCTGATGCGATCAAAGCTCTTCCCACAGAACGGGCAGATGTACCACTTCTCCCTAATGCGGCGCCCCGCTATAGTTTTGTGCAACTCTGGGTCGTTTAAATGAAAGAGTCTGTTGTCTGTGTTAAAGGTTGACATGTTTTTAGTCTGTGGTTGCTGTTTTTCTGAGAGGAATCTAATGGACATTCCTCTCTCTGAGTGATTTATTGCTTCTATAGGTTGACTTGGCTGAGACTGGCTGAAAGTCACAGGTGCCCTTGATTTACTTGATGCACCTTGAACCGTTTCATTGTCCCTCATAAACCTGTCCGAGTATGCTCCCTCTGCTGAATTATCGAAAATGTCCAAGGCATTTTGAATGAGCAAGATTTCGGAGTCCAGATTTTGAGACAACTGCTTTGTTTCGAAAAAGCACTCCGAGTCATCCGCAGTGTCGCTGTCTCCCACCGAAACAGTCAGCCACTGCTGTGACTCTTGCTCTTCCACAACCTCAGCAGGCTGCTGGTTCAAATTCATCTCGTGGGGACCTGCTCCACTGTTAACGCTGTGATCCGAGTCCACGACCTGCTCCACGATCTGGACGTCATCCTCGTCTTCTAGTTTGACTACTAAGTCTTCGTCATCTTTGCCCTCACTGTCAGATTTGCGCTGCTCACTGCGTTTCTCTTCTGTTTGAGGAGGTGATGACGTTCCCTGATTTGGTGAAACATCCACCTTATCTCTCACGCTCTGATCCGAAGACAAAGTCTGGACCGACTCTATCGTAGGCCCTGAAAGGACACAGCAGATTGTTTAAATTGTTAAAGGAAAATCAAAGTTCCCTTAAAAAGTCATTTTTTAAAACAGGTTAACTTAAAAAATAATCGCCTCAGCAACAGAGGCAGCAAATACTGTGAATTGTAAAGAAAGGTACCCAAATAACATGCACCTGCTTCATTACAGCGCTGTCTGAAAATGTGACATTAAACACTGGGAAACTTTTTGACTTGAGTAAGTAACAAGCAGATACACCAATGCTTTTAATGACTGTTAGCTGCAGGGACAGTCAAGCCAACTACAATGACATATCACTAAGAAAATCATCATATCACAGTGGAAAAGCTGGCAGTAGAAAGTATTTGACAAGTTTTCCTACAAAATGGCAAAAGTCACTTAAAACATTTTCTGCCTGTTGACAAATTAGGTAAATCTAAAGAACACAGACCTGTTTGTTATCTACAAACCCAATTCTGAAACCTTTGGGACACGATGTAAAATGCAAATAAAGAGACTGCAATGATTTCCCAAGCTCATAAACCACTTTTTAAATTCACAGCATAACTTAGAAAACATCAACAGGTAAAACTGAGACATTTTACTAATTCATTAAAAATATTAGTTTATTTTGAATGTGACTGCAGTGATGTGTCTCAAAAAGGTTGGATCTTTTGCCAGTCTTTAGGCACATTTTTTTCTTTCTGATACTTTGACCTTTTTCTTCTTTAGTAACCCGGTGTGTGTAACTTTGGCTCTGTTCTGTGGATCATTACCATGCTGATATACACCTCTTTTACCACTTGTCTTGTTAGTTAATAGTTAATATTTTGGTGGATCCAGTGACAATGTCAGGAACCTTGGCCTCATTTTGGACAGTGATCTCAGTTTTGATAATCATATTAATCAGGCCAACCAGAACCGCTTTCTATCACTTCAAAAACATATCAAATGTTAAAAATCCCTATCTCACACTGAATCTCAGAAATAGGCCCATGCATTTATATAAAGCAGGTTATACTACTGTAATGCTCTGTTTGCTGGATTATCCAAATCATCACTAGGACGACTTCAGCTTGTTAAGAATGCAGGAGCCAATCCATAAACGCACAAGGAAATTTGACTATATAACCCCATACTGAAGTCACTAACTGGCTCTCAGTTCAATACAGAATTACCTTTGAAATGCTTCTATTAGTTCATAAAGCTCTCAATGATTCCTACCCCCTTCCTGTACATCTCCGGCTTACTCAGTGTTTATAATCCGATTAGACCTCTCAGGCAGGTGCAGATCTTTTAACACTTCCCAGAATTAGATCTAAGTGTGCTGAAGGTGCTTTCAGTTGCTGTGGTCCTGTCCTTTGGAAGGAGCTCACTGTTATCAATTACAACTGTGTCTAAACAAACTTAAAACATTTTTATTCTCACAGGCTTACAATAAATAACAGTGTAAGTGGGTGTATATGTGTATGTGTGTGTATTAACTTTAATTTATTTCTTTGTAAAGGTTAGTTTAGTTTTTCTGTGTTTAAATTAATTTTGCCTTTACATCATGTGGTAACATGCTGGACATAATGTCTACCTAAAACATTCATCAGGCTTCTTTTCATCATCAAACTTAAGTCATGCGGGTTTGTGCCAAGGAGCAAGAAAGAAACTACTCTCCTTCTAAACCCGATGTTGATATTACTGTGAGCTGACACTGTTTTAAGCTGCAATATTAAACAATACAGATGTGCTAAAACTCCTCCTGTGCACACTTACAAATAGAAGGTGCTGTATAGAGAATATAGTTGTTATATTGTTAAATATAAGAATATAATTGTTTGGAAACGCTGTACTTAAACAAACACATGTCCTCATATGTTCACAAACATTACAGTGTTACAAATAGTTTGCAAACGGACTTTTTCCATCCACGGGGTATTAAATTGTGTCTTTTAAGACAAATATCGTTTATTGATCCCCTGTTTCTGCCGCGGTTGTTCTTACCATCACCGGCGGGCGGCAGCAGCTTATTCTGCTGCTCTCTCTTGGAAAAAGATGATGAGGAGTTATTTGCAGACTGAGCCCGAGCCGCTAACCGCTCCTTTTCCATCAACAACAACTTTCTGTTCAGAGCCTCGATTTCAATCTCTCTCCTCCGAAGCTCGACCTGGACCAATGCGAAGCCGTCCTCCCACAGTTTGCTAATTTCCACCACGGCTGCTTTAGTTAGCATCTCCATGATCGAGGTTAACTTGCTCTGGAAAGCTACACTGTTGGCCATTTTCCCCGCGATCAGCAGTTCTCCTTGACTGTAAGGACGAGGCAGGATGTTAAACGGACTCGGTGCGTGGGGACAGATCACACAGAAGGAGCGAACTCACCGCGGTAGTTTACATCACAGACGCTCTTTGAGGTGAAAAATATGGAAGTGTAATACAATAGCAACAGGAAACTCGAGTGCTCACGTGATGCTGAGAGTTTACGGTGCCCCTGATGG